AGTAAATTATGTATAAAAAATTCTTTTAATAATAAATAAATGATTTGAATGATAATTTGTATTTAGAAAATTTTAAAATTTGATGTTTAAAAAAAATTAATAAAAACCTTAAACAATTCTACTAGCAAAATTTATATTATCAAAATGCAAAATATTTTACAATAATTTAATATTTGTATATTCGATCATATTATATAAATTTTTGTGTTTACAAAATAAAATGATGAATAGATAGTATTTTTATTTTTTCATATTTTATAAGTATTTTTGTGGTATTAAAGATATGAAGTTTTATTCTTTTTAATTCATGATAAAATTATCAATTGATGATAAAAATATGGCAATTTAAATTTTGTCTTTATATATTTTGATCATAGATAATTATTTTAGCAATTGATCTGATTTTTCTTTCACGAACTATTTGTTTACAATAATGTTCATTTAAAATTGTGAATGAAAATAATAATAATATAAATATACTCAAATTTTTATAGATTTATATATATTTATATGAGTAATAAGTATTAAATTTTGAAATTATAACAAAAAAATTCTATAATGATCGATGGAAATATTAATAAAAATTTATTTGATTCAAAAAATTAATAAAAGATTATTTTACAATTTTAATTATACTTTATGCAATCTTACGAAAAAAATAGTTGATTAAGATTTATATTATATATTTAAGATTATAAAAACATTAAAATATATTGAAAAAAAAAACTTTTTAATATTTCATTATCAAAAAATTAAAATTTAAACATAGTCTATAATTAAAGTGGTATTAAGAATATTTATTTGTTAAAACTAATGTATTTGATTTCAACAACAGTTGTGACCTGCTCAAAAAAGAGAACATTGAGTAGTGACAACTGAAAGTATATAGAAAGTTATCGGCCATCAACGAACATATTATCAAAGAAAATTGGAAAGTGGTCTTCCGATATTTGTAGAGAAAATGTTGGTTTTGATCAGGTCAGAGTAAATTGAATAGAGTTATCAAAATTATGGTACAGCCTTCAAACTAGGTATTCAGAGCTCTGTCTCAATTGCGTTTGAAATAAATTATTATTAAAGTGGTATTAATAATATTTATTTTGCTAAAATTAACTTATTTGATTAAATGAAATGTATACTTCATATCAGGATTATATAATAAATTTTAAAAATATTAATTATAATTAATATTTATAAATTATTTTTAAATTATTTCAAAAAAAGTCACTTAATTGAAGTAATGAACAAAAATATTTATAAAAAAGTATGTAAATTTATTGATAGCAAAATAAATATTATTAATTTGAGCACAAATAGAGCAAGCATAGATTTAAGTATAATTTGCACATAAAACTATTTCAAATAGAATCAATATTACATTTGAATATCAAATGCATCAGATTTGATATTTTAGAATAAGTGAAATGAATGATAGTAATATTTCATCGTTCATATTTTTTACAATTATTCAGTTTGAATGTTCTTGTAGTTGCATCATAAAATCATAAAAAAACATAAAAAAAATCTTTGATGTTATAGTTTATGAAATCTCATACATACTCAAATATGTCTAAAAGTACAACTTTATAGAATTTCATATCTTATTCCTTAGTGAAATTTTTATTTTAGTGATAATTTTAATATTTTAGGAATCTAATTATTTTGTATATATGTTGACTAAAATAGACACAATGATTTAATATTAGCTGAATAATTTTTAATAAAAAAATTTCGGTGATTTTATCTGAATTAAATTCATTATATTTATGATAATTGACCAAATCAAAAATGTTAAATTGTATTTATTTTTCATAATAAATTGTATTATATCAAATGCAGTTATGAATAAATTTGATCATAAATCAGACAAATATTATTTTGACATAAGCAAGTGCTGTGAAAAAAATGATGAAAACTGAAGCCATATAACTTATTCCCCCTACCATAAAAGAATGCATGTATGTAACACCACCAATAGTGCTCGCCAAAGCTCCGATTATTTATTTTCATATATATATATATATATATATATATATATTGTGCTTATATTAGATTAATTTTGTAATGAATTTGAGTTTCAGTCTTTTGTTCTAGAATATATAAAATTTATAAACTCTAAAGTCAAATTTAAGTACTATAAGTAAGTATAGCATTAGTTAAATACTATATGAAAACAAAAATTGTTAGAGATTTTTTTTTAGATTTTAAATAAATCTAATGATGTAGATAGAAAGCAACTTAAATTTTTAAGCCTAATGCTTAAAATCTTTGTATTACTTAAGTTATAATCCGTAAAGTTATTAAATTAAGTCCATTAACAAAACAAAGTTGAGATTAATCACATATTTTCGGTATCCAATCTCTAAATCATAATTTTTTGTAGAATTTTGTGTCTTGAATCAACAAAAACAAAATTATCGAAACAATGCAAAAAATTAAAAAATTAAAATTTTAGTTCATAATTATAAAAAAATTCTTGAAAAATCTCTTGTGTAATTATTTGAAATTTCAAAAGATTTGATATTTTTACATAATTTCATGTGAAAATTTAGTGATGTAAAATTTATTATTTTATATCGATAAAATTTTAATATTATATTTAATATGTTATCAAATAATAATAAGTTCTAATCAATGTGACCTAAATTAAAATATATATATATATGATATTTTATTATTACATAAAATAGATTTATCATTGCTTATCAAATATAAAAAGTAAATTTTCAAATGTGCAGTTTTTGTTTATTTATAAATTAAAAATCATATTTAATGATGCAAAAAAGTAATGATGTCATTCATACATATTTTTTCAGATTATAAAGTTTTTATACGTTATATATGATAAAAAATCTCATGTTTTAACCCACAATGATGAATTATATTTCATGAATGATTGAAAAATGATGTTAAAAAATAAGTTAATTTAATTACTTAAATCTCTATTGATACTAATAATGATGATTCATTTTTATTTTTATTTTATAAAATTCTTACATGAAGATGTTGATAGTTGTTGCAATGAACAAGAATGGGTAAGCAATCTATATGCAATGTGATCATAAATAAGCATGATATGAGATATGATGGTGATATATGCATGTATATAAAAATTGAATGAAGTATTAACCATAATATTAAGCAAACAAAAAGTGTGATGATAATTGTTAAGTATATGCAACCCTAAATGTATACTCACACTTAAGCTCTTTATTCTCATTGCATTATTCTTTTGGAAAGTTATGAAGATTTTGTTTAGTTATGATTTGCAAAGTTTTGTATCAATGTTCAAATTATTGGTGTAATTTTCTTTACAATGTGCTTTTTTATTGCTTTACATATTATAAATTCAAGCTCTACACATAGTCTTTGATCATATCATATGATGTGACATCAACTCAATATCTATGATAGTTATGAATGAATTCAATGTAGATTATGATATATATTATGTTTTTATCATTTGTAACATTGTGACCAATAATTTATTCTTTCCTTTTTTTTACTCATTCAACTTATTGTTATCAATCATATCAAGATTTTGAATTTAATTTACTTCTCTAAATACATTTCAAAATTTTGTAGGATTTTGATAGCTATTTTAATTGTAATTAGTCATTTATGATAATGATTGATTTCATGTGTTATGATGTTCATTTGTAACATCCACTTTCTATATGTTATTGATGAATGAATTTCATGTACTTGTTTGCAATAGTGTTAATGGTAAACTTTAACCTTATGAGATGAGAATTTAATGTTGTATGGTATGAATTTCTTTCAATAAAGTTGTGATGAAAAATAATTTGAAACATTTAGTTGGAGTATGGTTGACCTCAGTTGATAGTTTCTACTTTACTTAACTTTTTATTACAGTTTACCATGTCAAATATAGTAATATATATATCACAATCGAATATTCTTGATTTTTTTTTCTGCTAATTATTAATTTACTCACAACTAAAGCATAGATATATAAAACATGACTTCTTCAACATTCATCGTTTCAAAAGTCTTCAATATATTACTTTCATTTTCAAAATGTGATGTATACGACAAACATATCTTTATCAATCTGGAAAACGAACAACGTGTGTGCAAATTTCCTTGATCTAGGTAGACAGACATCGAAGAGGCAAAATCATTTTTCTATCTACAGACACTAAAATTAGCAACAGACTGGGTTTCAACGAACGAACTCCGATCCCCGGAGAGAAAGAGAAGTCAGACAAACAAACGAATAAATATTCGAGAGGTCATGAACGTTTTGAGATCGTGGAGAATCGGAAATGAACGTGGCGACAAAGTGCATCAGATGCACAAAAACCAGGAGAATTACAATAGAGATCGACAACTAAAATTCCCACTCTGGATTCCGAGGAAGCGAAAAAGCTCTGAAAATCAATTATCAGAAATGCAGGAAAGGACGGGACCAGCACGGAACGAGTGCGTGACTTGAGTTGACGGATAGAGGAAGAGGGGCGGTCTGGGAGTAGCTGGTACGGACGGCGCTCTGGGGACACGCCACGGAGAAGAGAGCGAACGGATAGACAAGAGATACGGAATACGGCAGAGGAGCTTGTGCATGTGGCACGTAATTGGGCCAGGACGCGGACGAATGCCGGAAAGGATGGAGAGGTTCTATTTGCGGGTCCCTGTGGCAGCGGCCAGCCGGAATGTTAAATGCACAATTCCGAAGAAAATCAAGGTACAGCGATTTCGTGTCCGGGTCGCAAGTCAGTGCAGGACGAGAACGTGGATCGAACGGGCACGATAGGGTGCACAATTGATTCTCATTTAATTGGTCCAGGCCGATCGGGACCTCCCCTGGTACGCGAATAAGGTACTCTAACTCATCGAGAGTATGGGTTGCAGGTGATAACCTCACGAGAACGAGCGAACCGCGCGATTCGGGTCAGGTCAGGCTCTTGTGTTTTGGATTGTTCGTGCGGAGGCTTGTGCCTTGCCGGCCTGAATTCTTTTGATCTTTCCACGTGACCCGGAAATAATAGTCGGGTTTGTACGAGGAGGGAGGGTGGGGGCTCAAGGGAAGGCAATTTGCGGAGACGACAAGAAGGGAGGGACAGTAACCTTCTGAGAGAAAAGCAAAAAGCGAAAAGTTAGGGTCCTCATTGACTGTGGCGAGGAATCAAACGTACTGACTTGTTTGTGCCAGGAGATAGACAGTTAAGGAGGGTGATAATGTACAGGGAATGGTTTATGAGTAGGGGAATTGAGGTGTGAGCGAGGAGGGAGTAGGGAGGAGGGAGGAGACGAGGCGAGGATTAAAGCCTGTGGTGTTGTTGGTGGTGATGATGATGCAGGTGGAAGGATAGATTCTGTTTTAGAACGCATGCCAAGATAGCCGGCTCGGTGTGTGAAGACTCTTTGCCCAGGGGATGACGATCTTGCGTACTGTGTACATTTTGTTTTTCGTGTCACTCACTTGTGTGTGTGTGAAAGTGGCGCATCTTTTCGTTTCTTTCCTTGCATAGTGATAGAGTACATCAGTTACAGTTGCTTAGCTGGGACTTTTTTACATCGGATTGTTTATAGAGGAAGCGGTGGGACGAAGGGAGAGAGGATGGATAGTAAAGCAGGCCACAAGGTTGAAGCAGCATGCAAAGTAGCAGTGGCAGTCTTAGCCTTCGGAGCTTCTTACGTGTTCGTGAAAAAGCTCAAGGATCGAAAGAAGGGTGAATCTACGCTGTCGTTGAAGGACACCATGCGTCTCCCACGATTTGTCGAACCTGTGCGCTACGATTTGGAATTGATCCCCAATCTTGTCACCTGCAAATTCGATGGGAAACTTGCTGTTCGATTGGAAGTGCTTGAGAAGACCAATCACATTGTTTTGAACGCGGCTGACCTGAACATCTTCGAGAAGTCTGTCTCTCTTCGTACGACAGCATCGCGACAGGCATGCATGGCTTCCGATCCTCACCTTTCTTCGCTCATGTCATCTGATTGCTGTTTCTTCAATTCTTTTAGCAGTCGGAAATCAAACGATGAATTTCTATGTATGTACATAAATCGTATCAAGTTGAATACGTTGCTGGGTTTTTGAAATAGATAGAAGGGAGTGGTTGTTTCGTGAAGAGAGACTGTGGCTACTTGTTTTTGTGAACGCATCTAATTGAGCTGTGTAGCATGCAACACAACCTTCCTCGAATGTTGCAAGCTATTCGGGCAACGTCGTGCATGTTACCAGCTTCGAATTAAGTGGGTCCAATAATTATTCTTAAGAATCATCTACGATCGACAACACTTTCGAGCTGAAAGATTTGTTCTTGATTTTGGACATAAGAGTTTTGTCAAGATTCTTCTCCGTTCAATTCCGTGTGACTTGACTGTGCAATTAAAGTGGCTGAGCTTTACTACATTCTTACGTCATAAAAGTCATAATTACAGTGAAGAGGAAAACTTGATCAAAGTTTGTGATCAAGCTCAATAATTTGATATCCACTGGGTAAGTTTAATTTCTGGAAAGAGCCGGAGAAGTACATACCATACGTTTTCTGTAAATTCAATTTTCTCTACAGATATAATTCAATCAGATTGTTAGTCGATTAGTGGTTGCAAAACATCGGGATGACAAATTTTGGTCCTGCAGCCTTCAGATACTTCCTGGCTTGTGTCGAATGTGTATTCATCAATGACTGGAATAAATATTTGATGTAGGTCAAGGACAAGTGTCGTCTGGGCGACTCAATTCAGATTAAAAGACAGTTTATTTAGCGATCATGAAGGCCTTCACGAAAATAATGAAACGCTTCTGATGTCATGAATCTTAGCTACCTTGAAAAAGCAAGGCCTCTCTGCTACGGCTTGAAGACGTTGGTACGTGTTTGATAAGACTTTAATAGCACCGCTAAGCCCGGCGCGGTCCTCAGGCGATGAGAGGCACACACTAATGAGTGCAGTTGTCGAGAATTAGTACTGCCCCTGTCGCGATTGATTAGTCAAGTGATCTCTACCTATTGAAACCATCAAATGTGATTCCGTTTCACCAAAAATCATGACTTACTCTCCAGATGTTTATGCTAATGGATCTTCTGTCCTTTCAGGTTCTCTGGCCAACTAATATTGAGCTTGTGAAGGAAGACGAGCTGTTAATCCTTACATTTGAAGAGACATTACCCTTAGGAGACGCTCTCCTGTCTATGGATTTTCAGGGCACTCTCAATGACCAGATGAAAGGATTCTACAGAAGGTATCCTGTGTTTGCCACGAATACGTTGTTGCTTGTGTCATCTTTGTGCCTTGAAGCAATTGGGTGAAATCGCTCCACTTATTTGTGGGGAATATATTATCTTACTATATCTCTAGTTCATTTAATTGCTCAGACTGTGCCGGACTCTGCATCTTCTTCTCTCTTCAACCCATCCTCTGATTCTGGGGCTGAGTTTATGTCTTCCATTAAATATCAAATTCCTGTCTATTTTCTTGAAATTCTAAACGAAACTTATCCGGGCCTATAAACATGAGCTTCTAGTACAGTATCAGCCCCCTTGACCTCAGTCGCTAGTTATGTGTGCTATAGTGAACATTAGAAGAAAACAGATAATGCTGAAGCCTTTTGACAAGATATTTATCGGGGTATTGCAGCACTTACGAGGCCTCTGGAGTTAAGAAGAACATGGCTGTCACCCAGTTTGAACCTGCTGATGCGCGACGATGTTTCCCTTGTTGGGACGAGCCTGCTTACAAGGTCTATTCAGGATGTTTTTGTCAAGGATGTCCTTGCTTCTGCATTGTGCACGTGTATTTTTAGCTCCCTTTTCTCGGCTGGTTACATCTTCCGATTTGATTTGCGTAGATTAATCAATTAGGTCAGCGTGCTTACCCAAAGGTGCAATGTGTGTAACTTAATAACTCCGTCACAACACCTTAGTGGTAAGCCTATCGAACTACCGCATGAAGATTGTGATGTCGCCTAATGATTGGGAAACATTTCTGATCATGTCATTTGTCATATCACAGGCCATCTTCAAGCTTACAGTGCATGTGCCGCTTGATAGAGTTGTTCTCTCAAATATGCCTGTATCTTCCGAGGAGGTAATGGGGAGGAAGAAGGCCGTGTATTTCGAAGAATCCCCCAAAATGTCGACGTACTTAGTAGCAGTTGTCGTCGGAGAGTTTGACTTCGTCGAAGATACAACAGAAGATGGTAGGTTTTGACTATCCTGTATCACACTTTTTCTATTGCTGTTTACAGAGGTGATATTTATGATCACAAGAGCCTTATATCATCCTGATTTTACTGACTATGACATATCCTACCTATTAGTCGGCATATTGTTATCTTCGTTAGGATCTGCATTCATGCCGAAATTATAATGAAATGGCCCCTTAAACACATTAGAACATTCACGCGTGTGATATGCATACGCTTCTGGAATTGAACAGGCTTTTGCCACGACAGTCTGAAAGAGAGAAAACACAAGTTCCCAAGTTCTCTTTGGGAAGTTGTGTCAATCTCATGTGGTTCACTTGAGCCTTGTACGCATAGTTTACTGATGCAATTTGGATCTCCTTGTCAGGTAAGCTAGTGCGAGTTTATACTGACGTGGGGAAGAAAGACCAGGGTAAATTTGCCCTGCAGGTCGCTTTGAAGACACTCCCATTTTACACAAAGTATGTTCTTTCTACATGGCTCCTCCACGGGGTCCAAGTAGATGCTTCACAGCTTATAAGTTTTTACTCCCATTTTTGTCAACTTGATAATAATAGTACTTGTGTTGGACTTTTTTCCTTCAGCAAAGACCCACAGTGTCCATTGTATGATCTCTGTGGATGATTTGCTGTAGGTACTTCGGAACAGCATACCCACTGCCAAAATTGGATATGGTGGCCATTCCAGACTTTGCAGCAGGGGCTATGGAAAATTATGGATTGGTCACTTATCGTGAGGCTGCCTTACTGATTGATGAGACACATTCCACCGCTGCCAACAAACAGAGAGTACGCTAATAACCATTTCTAGGTCTTGTGTCTGTTGAAATGCTCATTACTTCATTGCAGTCCGATCTTATCGTAAACGAATTAGGCTAAATGATAATTGTCATACAAACTCTCAATGTTGAGTGTCATGTTATCGTCTTTGGCTTTGTACATATGTCTTCAGGTCATCACAGGAAAACATTAACGCATACAGCTTTTGAGTTTTCTGTGGAACGATTGTGCTTTTTCCTCATAATTAAACCCGGGTGTTGGCTTTTTTTTGTAAAGGTTGCGATTGTTGTAGCTCACGAGCTTGCACATCAGTGGTTTGGAAATCTCGTTACTATGGAATGGTGGACTCATCTATGGTTGAACGAGGGGTTCGCTACATGGGTAAGTACATGTGTTGCTAGGGATTGCTCTCTGTATGATGTCTTTGGCCGGATATGTCAAACTTCCTTTTTAGGTTTATAAAACTGCAGGAACTCTATTGTTCTCACGTGTGAGATGTACTCTTTCAGCCAAGCCTCATACGGAATTGTGGTTTTGAAAGCACCGACGAGTTGACCTTGAGGAGATTCCTTCTTTCAAGCATGTTCCTGAAGATGTGTCTCACGTTCTATACGCTGTTTTGCGTGTCAACTAATAAGTGTGGCACTGTTTGGTCAGCCATATTTGTTGAAGTTCGTCACGAAGTTTGTGTATTTAAATTTGTGTAGCTAAATTTGGAGATATTGTCTCAAACCTCCAGAAGACTGTCCACGATCTTTGATCTGCCGAACGTTGTGATTTACTTGTTTTCATGCTAATGTGCCTCAGGTCAGCTATCTTGCTGTAGATCACTTGTTCCCTGAGTGGAGAGTCTGGACACAGTTTGTTGACCAAACTGTAGAAGCTTTCCGACTGGACGGGCTTGTCGAATCTCATCCGATTGAGGTCATTTTCTTTACTGTTGAGCCGTGGTTTTGGATGGTTTTCTCGTAAATAAGTAGGATTGTATTATCACGGTGATTGCACTCAATGAAAGTTTCTGCAATAGGAAGTATCTCTTGCTAACAAACTGATTCTATTCTTTAGGTCGAAGTTGGTCATGTTCGAGAAATTGACGAGATCTTTGATGCTATAAGCTATAAGAAGGGTGCGTCCATCATTCGTATGTTGCAGACATACTTAACTCCTGATGTCTTTCAGGTGAGCATTACCAGACTCGTCATTGACAGCCTCATCATTGAATTGACGGTTTTAAGACTTAGTGCTGTGGATGATAGTACGTTCTTAGACCAAGTTGTTGTGGCCACAAATGAACATCTGCAGTCAACCGTTCAGAGCAAATGAAGGTGTCATGTTATACAGGGTCCGTTCAGTTGTTTACATTACACTTCACTCAGTTTGTTTTAGAATGGCCAATGGTCTTCAGCCTAAGACAGGTACATACCAATGTTTGAAGTCTATTGTCCGATCGAGTCCGTAGTCTTCAGTCCGTGATTAGCAAATCGTCATGAGTACAATCTGGTTTCAGAAACAAGCATGTCTCTACGGCATTTTGCAGCATGGCAGAGGCCTTCTACATATAGGTATACATAATGACAGCCTGGTGCAATGTATATTTTGGTACAAGTTTTATCCAATGTACCTGAAGAGTTTTCAAGGGGAGAAATTGAAAGTATTGGAGTATTTACGATGGAAATTTATTCGTTTTGCAGAAAGGACTTGATCAATACATCAAGAAATTTGCTTACAATAATGCTGCTACTGAAGACCTATGGGGTGTTCTTTCTGACGTATCTGGAGAACCCGTTAGAGAACTGATGAACTCATGGACATCTCAAAAGGGATTCCCAGTTCTTACTGCAAAAGTGAATGGAAACTCTGTCGAGCTAGGGCAAGTATGTGTCCACCTAATTATAATCTGCAGATTTCTTTGTCTACATGGTGCTGCTTCCTGCATATCCGAAATTTCATTCAGAAAAGCTACTGAATGGCTTTAGTTTATCTGAGCCATGGTTTGTTGTCCACCAGTCTCAGTTCCTCTCAAGTGGAGTTGCCGGAAAGGGCGAGTGGGTTGTGCCAGTGACCGTAGCCGTTGGTTCATACGATGTTCAATCCAGTTATTTGGTCAGGGGGAAGGTCAGCACTGTACAACTTCCTGGTGCAAGACCCGACGCTTCTAGTGTAACAGATGGGGATGATGTGACAGCCGTGAATGAGGGGACGAATTGGGTGAAACTGAATGTTGGTCAGGCAGGATTCTACCGAGTGCAATACGATGATGAACTCGCCAAACGTCTTAGATCTGCCATAGCAAATAGCTCCATCGAAGCTACTGACAGATTCGGTACGCGAACTTGTGTCGACTCTATTACATGACCAAACTTTTGCTCCTGGTGATTATTCGTCACGTCTGTTTTCCAATTGCTAGTAGGGCATAACTTGTAAACTATTCTTTCTTGGACTTGAATTTTGAAGTTTCTGAAGGTTCTTCATGTCCAATCGTGTATTGCCGCAGGTATCCTGGAAGATTCCTATGCGCTGTGTGCCGCGTGCAAACAGCCTCTTCTCGATTTGCTCTCACTTATGGAAGTCTTTAAGAACGAGAGTGATTACACCGTTCTTTCATGCTTAATTGACGTATGTTCTAACTTTGTTTACCAGCTGTTTATATTATTCAAGTATTCAAGAGCAATAAAAATGCAAAAGAATTGTCTTTGCATAACATTTGAAAGCTCACGTAAGTTTACGCTGAGCTTTCACATTTTACAGTAAATTGGACGCTTGCAATATATATGTAAATGTAATTTGCTTGCAATGTGCTTTCATCAAGTAAGAAACGGCCTTATAGATACATATGGTGGGCAGCTCATTCAAGCTGTACTGTACGTTGCAGGTATCATATAGAGTGTACCAAGTAATCAACGATGCGCTTCCCAGTGCAGCCAGTGATACAAAAGTATTCATTTCTAGTCTTTTCCAAACTTCGGCCAGGTGAGCAAACAATCTTCTTTCTCTTTTACCAACTTGTAGTATCAAACCTTGCCCCTTTCAATGTATATGGTACCTTTCTCGATAAGCTACGATTGGGTAGATTATCGAGCATACATATTTTATACTCACACCTTCATGGGATGCAAAAGATGTGTTGCCTTCGATTAATCGGTGCAAGTGGATGCACAGGAGGTTGGGATGGGATCCTATTCCAGGAGAGGGCCATTTGGATGCAATGCTAAGAGGGGAACTCATGTCAGCGCTTGTGTCTTTTGGGCATGAAGAGTCCATTGCGGAAGCTAAACGCAGATTCAGCGCTTACTTAAGCGACAGAAAGACAAGTTTGTTCCCTCCAGACATTCGTGTGGTAAGATTGTTTTTTTCATTACTTCGAGTACCACTTCAATTAATAGCAGATGAAGTCGCCCAGTAAAATTTTCCCGAACGTTTTCTTTGCGGTAGCTTGGATCTGACTAATTTTGTCCCTTTTCCACTATATTCAGGCTGCATACAAGGCTGTGATGCAGAGTGTGAAGAGTTCGGAGAGGTCTGGTTATGATGATTTACTGAATCTCTATCGAGAATCAGATCTCAGCCAGGAGAAGAATCGAATCTTGGGTACGTGCCAATTGGAAAGCAGACATAATGAATTGAGCAACTGCAAATGATCTTGTTACTAATATGGACGATAGTGCTATAATTTTGTCGTTTCTTTTCTATGGAGCAGGTACTATTGCGTCCTCCCCGGATCCAGTCATGGTGCGCGAAGCATTGGATTTCTTGCTCTCATCCGAGGTTAGTTGTCCTCCCAGTCAGTCACTGTCGATAGTTCTCAGTGAAACTTGGTGGAAGATGAATTTAATCTGCCTGTGCCATGACATCACCAATTCTACCCTGCAGGTACGAACCCAGGACACTATATGGATTCTGAGCGGCATCGGTGGTGAAGGTCGTGAAGCTTCATGGGACTGGCTTTCGGTAACTGCCTCAGTCCTTACGTACTTCTTGTTGCATGTGATGACTTATAATCGTACCGAAGATCAGAAGATTTGACTTACACGTTCGTTTGTCCTTCTTCTGTGCATCAGGCTAACTGGGAAGTTATATGGGGCCGCTATGGAGACACAAGCCTTATCACCCGCTTTATCAGCAAAATCATCTCTCAGGCACGGGTTCTTAACTCATCGTGGCCCAATCATTATCACTGCAGATGTCATGAATAACCGGTGCTCCAGTGATGAGTCTTTCATCTTTTTTGTTGCTATTTGCCTTACATTTAAAAAACTGCTTTTGATCTCTTTGCAGTTTTCGAGCTATGAAAAAGCGGATGAAATCAAGGCCTTCTTTGTCACGAATTCTCATCCTGCCATAGATCGCACTGTGAGTCAAAGCATAGAGAGGGTGCGGATTATTGCGCAGTGGGTGAACTATGTTCGAGAGGAGGGCGGCATCGTTGAACTGGTAAAGAAGCTTGCTGCGGACAGCAATTGACTTTTCACGTCGTGAAATCATGTGCTTGTAAAGATGGCATCTGATTTGTCTGTTGAATAAGTTCGTGACAAGCAGCCACATTACTTGTGAACGCTATAGCTGTTAAGACTCTTCTACAAGTTCAGGCACTGAGAAGGTATGGCTGTAGAAAACAATTTGTATAGTCTAGTCTGTCGGTCACAAGTCGTAGAATGAAATACCTGGAACTGGAATGTACAAAGTTACCAAAGCATCAATGCATCAAAGGTTCCCAAACAGGCCTTTCCATGAATATGAAAATCACGCAAGTCCTCACTGTAAGCTACAGAAACTGTCACCTGTCGCAGTTTTACTTAAAAAGATTCTCCGCAGAAACGAGAAATATGTTTCTTCATCACATGGTCTGAAGTGGATCCACTTCATGTAACTCACCGACCTTGTTCGGTTGCCCCTGGAATTTGGCCTTTCACGTCCTCACGTGATCACGTCGATCCTACTGCTGTCACGACCTGACTACCATGTGTAAGGTCTTGTGCCAGATGCGGGCTGCAAGCACCGAAGACTTGACTCAGTGTCTTTCTTTGCTAAGAACAACTTTCTGAATGAGGAAGTCGATGTGACGGAAGTCACTTCTGTTCGGTTCTTATCATAGGAGCGGAGTAGAGTCGTGTGACGAGAGATCGAGGTCAGAGAGCAAAGCAGCATCTGTAATTCCTGTCTTGCGAACCTTGGAATGGAGGGTGTTGGTACTTTAGGCGTCGCGAATTTCGATGTCACCGATTCCTTTGCGAAGATGATCATGATCATCTTGACACGAACTACAGCTCCCAGAAGCTTGGTCTCTATACTCATTTTCATCCTCCTCAATCATGGGTTGGTTAGATAGCATGCTTTTGGCCCTGCGGTATTCCAGATGGTGCATGTGCCTCTTTTCTTCAAAACTCTTGTGACGCCTGGGTTTGGACGGAGGCTCGTCAAAGTCAATACTCTTGGTTTCACGATCATAAGGTGGAAATCGACACTGGGCAACAGGGCTGCTGGTGCTGGGGCCTGCACCACTGCTGCTGCTGCTGCTGGCGCCCTCACCGTCGTTGTAGTATCGGTCATCGGTGGTCGACGCAACTTGCGATAGGGCTAGTCTAATTGCGTCGGCATGCAATGCGTTCTCAAGAGGAGTCGGGCTCACAATGTTGTCCTCAGCTCCCGGCGGATGGTACGGTGTCTTCGGCTCGTCGATTTTCTGCTTCGGAGTTTTGTGTGCCTCCAAATAGTCCAAATTCTCCTCATCCCAGACCACCCGCACTCCCAGGTGTTTGCCGTGACTGCCGGTTCGTTTCATTCCTCTCTATCTGCTTCTGTGGTCCGAGACCTCGTGGTTACTCATTCCTCTCCCATCTCCCGCATCGCCTTAAGACTCCCATTGACCCCGTGGTTGACCCTCCCGTATGTCCCAGTCTGTTGCAAAATCCGGCAATTCTTGCCATGGATTTTGCGCCTTGTGGACAGCCTCTGCTCTCCCCACTGCGCGACACGGCGTCCAGGCTTTCACCGAATCAAGGCAGCGATCTAGCACGGGGAGCGGTTAAGACCAGGGTTTTATGGCCCAATGTGCTCCTGGCCCTCGATCGAGCCAAACTTTACAAGAAATCTGATTTCAGCGGGTTCGCCAGGCACTTCGTGTTCGAAGTCGTCTGGGATTAGAAGCTCTCCACGGACTGGAAGCTCTCTCGAGCGATCACTTCTGCGGATGTTATTCAAATGCTCGAAGAAAATGCCTCGCGACGCCTTTTCATTGCACTCACTTGACGCTCACCCTTACGCCCGGCTCTGGCTCTGGCTCTGGCTCTGGCTTCGGCTCTGGCTTTGGCTGTGTCGTTGAATGAAGCTTCCATAAATGAACGCCTTCTCGCGGAAATCGAGGTCCGGACTGCCACCGTGGTCCTGACCGTCCCAACGCTTCCCCCAGCCGGAGCCTCGATTGCTCGCGCCCGTTTGATTGCCGGCAATTTCATCCGACGCAAACCACAACCTTATCGGCAGTTTCACGATTCGAAGGAAGGTCACCGTTGAAGGCAGACCTCGAGGGCCACAGCCCTAACTGAGCGCACGGAGAGATTGTTGGCAGATCGTTTGAATTTCTTGTGGACAATCCGTTCGGACAAATAGGTTCTACCCATTCGATTCTTCGGTTGTCGCTCACCAGCACGCCCGGGAACAAGTCGAATTCAATCGAGCGAGTGCCGCTCGATCGATTGCGTGGCGATGGTGATGGTGACGCGCAAGCGCGAGTGCGAGTGCGAGTGCGAGTGGGATCGCGATTGCCACGGGAATCGTTTCTCGGGCCAGATGCAGAGCAACGATCGTGCTCCCGCTTTCGCTCCCGACTCGATTCTGCGAGGAGTCCGAGGACCCTTTGGCCGGGCAGTCTTGTGAGGACTGGCGCTCGTTCACACTCGCGGCCATGGCAGCCCCGAAGGCCTTCCTTCCTTTTCTGGACCTTCGGTTCGTTCACACGCTCTGCGACCCTGCCATTTCCCGCGTGGTGCTCTGATGGGAAGTCCCAACACTGTAAAGGGACGCATCGCGGAAAGGGCCTTCGGGACAGCAGAGCACTGGTCGTGGGGACATTGGGAACGAGGACGAGCGTTCGGAGGCAAGGAACAGATACTCATGAAGATGGACACCAGTGATCAGCGCAAGGCCTCTGGGTGTTCATCTTCCGAACGGATTTCGGATTGGCGCTCGCCCAAATTTCGGGGGTGATTTGTTGACTCATTGGGTAAATTTGAATGGCTGCATGCTGCAATTTCCACCCACGTTCTAGAAATCCTCGAGAACCTGATGAGCTCTCGACTCGTTCATTCGCATCTCCCAGCTCGTCTTTGGGAGGCATCCCTGGAGATGGATGTCGACGATACGATAGCCCTGCTGCGAGGCGGGGAGAAGAATCGGAGTGCTTCTGCTTCGGGCAGTGAGGCATGAGAAGCCAGATGCAAGCACGGTCTGAAGCCTCCGGTCGCTCGACAGCGTGACCGATGATCTGCGATGCATTCATTCATTCAATCATTCATTTGTTCGTTCGGGAGTCTCGTTCGACTGGACCAACCGCCGCAGACCCCAAACGACGATTTGCATTTTGGCAGGATCAGCATTCGAGCGCGTTTTGACCTTTGGAAGCTTGTGGTGTGCTGACTCCAGATCACGTCCAACCGAATGTCGGTCACAAGGGAGCCGTCGTCTTGAACGCTCACGATGGAGGTACGTCGTCACCATCGCCAGCTTCACCGTAACTGCGAGCTGGAGAGGATCTGACCGACTCGAATAAGCGATGAACGCAGTCCACAGTCCACCCGACAGCTTTCTGTTGAAGATTCAAAGGCGGCTCTCATAGCGAAGGAATCGCTCATTATGAGCCCACTCATCAAGGTTATGACCACAAACAGAGGAACGCCAAACGCTTTCAAGGTCTCGACAGGAGAATGATTCTGATCACGACGAGTTCATGATCCCGATCTCGATTTCTCTGATAGGCTCGAGCATAATATAGGATCACACTTTGTGCAATCCCATGTATGATGGCGTTCTGGCACCCATCGAGTGTGAAGAGTGAAGTTCAATAGTCAAGTCGACAGGAATGGAAGTGTTCCAGGCTGAGGACTCTGAAACCAAACGATAATTATCATGAAAGGTGCCATCACATGGAGTTGAAGTGACACACTAAAGTCAGCAATTTCCATCTCACTTTGTCTGGAAGATCCTCGTGCTGCCTGTTAAGCATACGTTGTACGTCTTCCATGTGAGTCGCATGTCGCCGTGCAATCATGAGATGTACGCTTCCGATTGCATGACTGTCTGTTGGGCTGTGCAGGCTGCGAACAGGTCTCGGGTTTCCATTCTCATAGCAGTGTATTGAAGCACATTCGCCTGACATCTTCGAGTCTGGTCAACCTACTGGATGCAAAGTACTTTACTTTGTTAGCCAGGAACAGGTTTCCATCAATCCAGCGCTCAACGATGCACTAAGCAAGCCCGAATCGAGGAGAATGTGCATGAGCATTGCACTATCCTATACAACAATGTGGAGTCAACATGTGACTGCGTCTCAATCTCCGTGGGAACGGTGGGTTTGCTTTCTGGTCGGGCAAGGCAGTTCAGGTGTATAATGAGTGAGGAGGAATACGGGAACTCGAGACGGTGATGTGGTAGATGATACGTCTCCATGTGAGCAGCAGACTTCCCTTTGCATTCGTTGCATGGCATTGCAAGCACTTCCGACATGATTGGGCTTCCCTTCCCGTCAACGGCGAACCGATGCGAGTGGCTGGCTGCTTACTGGTCAGCATTTTGACCAGGACTCATGGAGGACTCTTTTCTCTTGCTCGTGGGCTTATCGAAGAAGAAAACAAACTGCTGTTCCCATCTCTAACCACCACAACCAGCTTTTCTTTTCGACCTTATCCTCCTCCTCAACACATACAAGATTTAAGCCTCGTCAACGGACGAGCGAAAGCACTAAAGGGAGCTCAAGACAAGGAACGGAAAGGCCGAAAATGGTCACGTTTTTTGTCAACATTATCAAAAATTAATAACTGCCATCAACTGGTCTACTGATCGTCTGATTCACCTCCAGTTTAAGCATGCAACCGAACGGGGTTCCAGTGCAATCGTCAACTCCTTTCCCTCTTCCTTCCAGGGGAATAAGGTCAAGAATCTAGCCTCTTTTTGTTCATACAAAGGATTTGATTCCCATGCACATCAGCCACGGCATGATCTATACAAAGGTCAACTGATCTGATTCGATTCCAATGCTGCCACTCAACCGTCTAGGAATTTTAGAGTCCTAAACGCGCTTGAGTTACGCTTTTGATCGCTTGCTTCTTCATGAGTGAGGAAGTCCCAGCCAAAGGGCAGAAGTCTTCTGCAGGCCATCATCCCTAACCATAACAAGATGGTAGCATCTTATGAGTCACGCTTCACTTTCTCCTTCTCAAAGACCCAAAATCTCCTGAACGAGTCTGGACTATGGGCCATAGTCCAGACTGCCATAGTCTATGGCAGGTGAGGTCAAACTATAAATGTCAATGAAAGACCAAATTAATGGCCAACTGAATCTTGTTTCAAATCACTTCATATCGAGTTCTCATCATTTTCACGTCTGACAATCTCGGAAATTTTAATGCACTGCGAGATTCACCCAGTGAAATGAAAACCGCCTGCTACACAAGGTCCCTGTGCCGGACAGAAACAACGCCAACCAGCTTCTGAAGGAGCTGTGTATCTACAGCGTAGAGTTAAATAACTCCCAAAGGACAGGCTCAAGCTCAGGCTACAGTCCATCACGACGAGGCACCCAAAGAAACATACAAGACCCATGGATTCCAAAGAGGAGGGCCACGAGTCCCGTCTCTTTAGCTACAGTATGACAACTTCTATTTTTCAAAGTGTGGAAGCGGGCTATGGATCTATTCTTGGAGGCGAAATTAGGGAAGGGTCCTACCTCCATCCTCAAAAGAAATGCAGACGGTAAGAGGCAGAGAAGATTAAAACTTGAGGTGAGAGGAAATATCTCTCGCTTGAAACTTTGAGCGAATGACGTTAAGCACGGAACTGTCGCTCGAGTTTGTCGATGCATTAGAAAAGTGTACACGTGAGAGCAGTCGAGCCAAAAGAATTGAATGAGAATGGCGTACGAACTGGATCACAACAGACATAAGACCTCGAGGCATGGAGAACCAGATACTGGGATTCAAAAAATAGTCCAAGTCTGCAGAGAAGTGGGGCTGGAAGGCCAGAACAGAACAAAATGTGCCAGAGTTGTTCGTTTGAAAATGAATTTGAGGTGCCTCAAAAGCGAATGTTTTGCCGATAGTTCCAAACCCCAACGATCGAACGACTAAAAGACTGATGATGGATGCATCTCGCGTGCTTGAGAAGCGGGTTAATATTAAAGCTGGGCCACCCGCGCGCGCAGGCCGTGGACCCTGCTCTCTTCTGAAGTTGGAGTGGGTACCTACCTGTGCAGCAGCAGCCGAAATGCATCCAAGTTCCCAATGCATCCGCAGTCTTGTCTTCACTGTGCTGTGTACTTTGCTTCTTCTCCCTACGCTTTCCAACTGGCCACGGTTTCTCAGTGGGGCTCCTGTTTGTCCCGATTCCCTTTGTCCTTGCACTAAAATTAGCGACCTTCTCGGCCCAACTCCCCAGGACATAGTTTTCGTCTGCTCCAGGTGCACGGCGAGTTTATCCTCCTAATTACCCATCATCTCCAGAAGCACCTGGATGAGTGTTTTGTATTTTGTTCAGGAATGGAAGTATACCTGGTTTAGTGTTTCGATCTAACTCCGTCTCTCACTTCTTAAGCACAAAACTCGGGCGACTCTCGAGAGCTCCAAAGTGTGTGGACTGATAAATGCAGACCTCTCTCTTACATTTCCCATGTCAGTCTGTGATCAGCGACCAGATGGAGGGCACATACAATATGAGTTTCACCCGCTGCTGACTTCCACAGATTTCAAGGTGCTAGTACCCTGGTCAGAACAGTTATGTTATATGGGATTTTTCCTCCGTTCTATGTTTTTGTATCAGACCCTCACTAGTACATGAGCAGCAACGAGGTCTATATGATGATGATGATACTTTCCATCGCACTCGGAAAAGGTGTAGTTGTTGTGTTGTGTGTACACGAGAGCTTGTTCTTAGCGCCTTATGTTTGTTTTGTGAATTAAGATTTCATTGTTAGATCAATTTTTTTATTTTGGTGACAGAAGCAGGTTTCACCTGCACCAGAGGACGCACTTACGAGAGTCGACTGTAAGTGTAAGACTGAAAAGTAGTGGCGTACGTGTTCAAATTTTTCTGTGATTGTATGTCGCAAACACATACGTCCCAACTGCTGGAAGTCTGAAACTACCTCTAAGTCCCAAGACCTCCCATTCCATTATTGGATACTGCACCAGATAGTTTGAGTTTTTTATATATGGACCTTCTATTACTGGCCTGAGTACTCAATTATTGCCTCGTGGATGGTATCGTACTGTGGGTTGCTACGTATCCAACGGAAGTATCGAGTCAGAGGTGACTTGGAAGGTCATGTTGACGTTCTAACTTTTTAAAAAATGGACATTTTCAACTTATGGGGGCATCTTCTTCATTGACTACAGTAATAGAAAAGCCTTTTGCTCTCCAAAGTCATTTTCTCTGGCTTTCACGACGACGAGACGAGACTATCACAAAGGGAACGGTATTAGCGGGTAAAAATAGCTCTCGATTGAGAAAAGAAAGTAAGAAACGGAGAGCGAAGTGAACTCGATTTGAGGAGAGGAACAAAACTATACTTCCACCGACTTTGGTACAACTTGTGATTCTGACGGAGGAATCTTGAAATTCCATGGGTTCCGGTAGGGGGATTCGGTGTATTGAAACTTTTTAGGCTTGATACTTTCCTGTCTGTTGTTGGTTTTCCTATTTCAGGGATATTTACGCCAGAAAGTTGGTAGTCTTCACAGGACATGAAATCAAACCAAAGTTACTGGATTTCAATTATGAAATTGATGCGAGAGTTAGGTATCATATCATGTCTATTCATCATAATTATTCTCAAAGAGTTAAAAACCAACTCTTATTTAAACATCATCTTACAAAAATTGGAGCTTCTGAATTAAACGCTGTGCTCTACCTGCGGACAACCGCTACAAGTGGCCTTTCACATTTGTTCGTCATAGTTAACTCAACCTCCAGCGGCACATTCAGTTACCGCACCTACTGAAACGTGGCCAAGATCACGAATAATATAGAGGTACCATGGAATATATAATCCTGCTTGTAGGTAATGACTGACCTCCACTCACAGAAACGAACGACTTGCACTTTGCTGTTGTGTGTCCAATGGTTTCAATCATTGATGGTTGGGTTTGTTATGTACCCTAGATATGGTACTGAAGAGATAATGGACTGCTTGAGTGAGATATGTTGTTACACATGGAGTGTAATGAACTTGGTATCGAGGAGGGACACCACGGATGTTCAGAAAGTGGAAGTGTTGAATGATCTGAAGTTGTTGGGCTGTGCTAAGTAATGCAGTCAGGCAAGCAGTCAAGCCCCTACCGGAAAGAGGCCAATGGAGCCTACACTGTATAGTTGAATTCAGTTACACACAATTCTACTTCATAGTTCACCGCGATAGTCGATCTTCTCTTGATTGGGCTAGACGTATGTAAAAGGTTCTGAAGCTCAAATCCAATCTGGAGAATTCAGAACTGTCATAATCCGAACGAAGTCCCCATGACTTGTAGATTATCTGGTCTTCCTAACGGCATGGGCAAGCATATCTTCACCGATGAGTGCTTAGGAAGCTTCATCTGACCCTCCGTATTTATTTTCCATAACAGAAAAGGTGTCCAGTCGAATTACAGTATCGAGCTCGAGAGGAAGCAATTCGTGGTTAAGAATCTTATCGAGAATCTGTTCTTTCCAGCTGTAACCAAAGTAAGATGAAGATGGAGAAAGCATAAATCTTACGATTTAGGTCAATTTCTTCCGTCCGTATGTCCAGCTTCTTCCTACTTCCGGAGTTGGGCTTACTATACCCGAATACCATTACACCTGTCGACTCGCCAATTCTTTATATGGGAACATAATTTCATATTCTAGTGATATTATTATAAGAAGAAGAAGAAGAAGAGGAACTCACTCATTCCTACCTTCCGATGGCTGCCAAAATGCCCAACCAATTGAAAGCAGGTGCAGCGAACCTCAGCGATGGATCGATTTAAACCTGGGGAGATTGATCATAATGCCTGACCACGAGAAGGTGGAACCTTCGACCTTATAACAAGCCCTGGCTTATAATGAACATGGACGGACCTACCACAGAGAAGCGCACGACGTCGTCAATGAGCAGCGCAGTCGATCCGACCTCGCATGGACTCGTAGTTGGCCGATCGATCGGACGATCATCCATCTCCATCTTCCGAGATGCTCCAGAGCCTTCTTGCATACCGATACGTACAATATTATGTTGATATAATACGAGTTCGACGACAGCAGTATACGACAGACAGGCGACAGGCGACGATCAGCTGCAGGAATTGTGGAACTAGCAGCTTGCCGTAACTTTCTTCCCATGGCTCGCTCGCTCGTTCGCTACCTGGCCTAGCGTAGCGTGGTACCTGAAGGTGTGTCTGACTGTAGATGCACGCGCTGGGGATGGTGGGGCTGCTCGCACTCTCTCGCTCTTCCTGGCCGTCGCTGCAGCCTCGCGCCTTCCAGTCAAGTCAGGGAGGCAGTCGGCTGGCACGAATGAGCTCAGCCGAATTGCACTCATCATCGTTCGCCTTTACGCTGGGCACGGAGTAAGTGAGGCAGGCAGGCAGGCAGGCGGGCGGGCAGGCATGCACAGAGCGCGCGCGAGAGAGAGAGGGAGAGAGAGAGAGAGATAGAGAGAGATCAGAGGGGAGGCGAAGGGAGGGGAAAGGTCCGAGGCCAGTGCCTCTGAACTGCATTGTCTCTCTGCTCTGCTCTGCGGTTTCTGTGGCCGGGAGTCAGATCACCTGTTCCGTTTCATTCTGCTGCTGCCGGCTACTGTGCTTTTTCTCTTCGTGCTTTGAAGCTGGGATTCTCGTGAGCCTGTCACGTCAGGCTTGGAGGTCCGGGTCGGGTCGGGTCGAGTCATCGGGCTTCGAGGATTCTGAGATTCGAAGATGGCCGTGGACCTGAACTTGTCTCGGGGTTTAAGAGGTTTATGAATCACTGCTCGAGGTTCGGAATATTTTCTCGAGAATGGTTTCTAGATTCAGTACGAGCGAAGCATCCGAGGCCTGCAAGCCAGCCAGCCAGCCAGCCAGCAGACATGTCGTTTCATTCCGGCTCGACCTTCTGAATGTTCCGTGCACAGCTCTGAGAATGACTACGGAATAAAGAGTAGAGCAGTGTAGAGGTCTCCTGCAGTCGCAGAAGGACGAGGGAAGCTCGGGAGGCAGTGCAATCGGCATACTATCGACTCGTGACAATTCAGTTCCGAGCCGTCCACCTCGTACCTGAGTTCTCTCAAGTAGCCCATCGAGCTGAAACGAATTCATTCGACAGAAGGAGCCTGGAAGTGAAAGAGCTCGGGAAATTGGATCGCTGGGTTCTGTCTGCTGCTGCTTCTGAGGGAGGTGATAGTGGAAGCTCCACGCGATAGCATAATCATACACCCGAGAGCGTGCTTCCATTGTGGATACGGACGAGGCCTCATCCATCTTCATCTTCATCTTCTGAGGGTCGAGTCTCATGACGAAAGGGGCGAGCGAGCGGAGTCGGAGGCGAGGTCGCAGTGCGATGATGAAGGCACGAGTGTTCTCGACACGAGCGTCGCTGCTGCTGCTGATCGGTCTGATCAACCTTCAGTGCGCAGCATTTTCTCACTACTCGCTGCTGTCACTCCAGACCGTCTCGCAGAAGTTCTCCAATGTCTTCTTGTCCCAGCAGGGCACTCTGAGGTACAAGTCCGGGGCGCTGTTGTCGGAGGACGAGCTCGAGGACGACGAGATGGCCACTTTCGACGAAATCATGGAGGGCCTGATGAAGGACAACGGCATTCCGGGGGCGCAATTGGCCGTCGCCAAAGGCGGCGAGCTCAAGCTCTTCCAAGGCTATGGAATAGCCAAACGTCGGCAGCCGAGGGATCATGGAGACGATCACAACATGACCACGGATCACGTGATGCGAATTTCTGATCTCTCTCGACTCATCACGGGCGTGGCGGTCCTGCAGCTCGTCCAGGTGAGGGTCCTTCCCAGATTTTCTTCATGTTCTCGAGCTTTACATCGATATCAGATTGGCATGCTTTGGGGTCGATCGTATCGGATTGTAGACGTCTCCTTTCTTCCCTACCCTTTCTTCATTCGAGGTAGTCTGCGAATTGCGGATCTTAAAGCTTCCCACGACGTGAGCTAGAAACCGAGTCAGTTATTGAGTCCCGCACGTACGATCACATCAGACAGAGTCGATCGATCATCGATTCGTCTGCGAATCTGGTGGCCCAGAAATCGTCCGAACTGCTGACGAAATGTCGAGCTGCATTTCCATGCACCCTTCGACCCTTTGAAGTCCCCATGATGAGACTCAGTCTCCTCTCTTTACCACATGCCTTTTTATTCGTGTTGAACCTTTCCGAACGGAATGTGAAGGACGTGAACCTTCTTCAGCTACAGGCATCTTCTTAGCTTTGCACAAATTTTCTTATTTTCATCGGCAAATGTCTACGCGTACACTGGTTTCAGAGTGCACAGTTGAGTTGGTGAATCTCCGAGTTCAGATCTATTTTTGTGGACGGTAAAGGTGATTGATCGATTTTCTCACAGTTTCAGAGCCAGGAATTCATTCTGGAGTCCACTACGCACTGATCGTGTCCACCTGCCGATGTACTTCACAAGTACAGGCCTGAGAAATAGAGACAGGGAGAGCTTCCTGTTCAGGAGGATTGGAGAGGAGTGGAGTCCTCATGATGGAACCTGTAACTGAAGGTAGACTACCGAAGGATCGTGCTGTAAGAGAGTGAGAGCAGAGATGCTCAGGAATACATAACGTGACCTCCAGTTGCTGAAATTTTGGCATCGGATCATGAATGCAGGACGGTCGCCTGGAGCTTGAAGATAAGGCATTTATGCTGCTGGGCCACCTGGAACCACCCAGCAACTCGAAGATCGATCCACGCCTTCATGATATCACCATACGCCATCTTCTACAAGAAACTGCAGGTCTGTCCGCTGTACTCTCTCTCTCTCTCTCTCTCTGATCCTCCGGCTTCCTCTCTCTCTCTCTCCACGATCCTCCGGCTTCCTCGTCAAAACTCCTGCATTCGCAAGCAGCCTCTATCATACGGCCGAGCTTCTCACTCGCAGTAGAATTTCCAATCCAATCCGTTGGGAAAGACGTATGTACCCCACACCACGGACCTCTGCCAAAAGTCCGTGCTTGTTGCTTCCCATTGTACGCCACATTTTGTCGAGGCTGAGATTGACGTATGATGGTCTCACGAGCAATTTAGCTGCGCATATACGCAGTCATGGTCCCCGGCGAGGAAACAAAGTCCGCAATCACCGAGATTCCCCGAAGTTCCCGTTGCCCAGAACGACGCATGATCCATCGATCGATCGATCGGAGCACAGAGTACAGTCAATGCGCCGGTCTAGGTCGGGCCGTAGGACTGCAGATTCCCGTACACTGGGAAAGCTGCGTCGTCGTGCCCTGTAACGTCACGTCACGGCATGCCATGCCATGCTATACCGCCGAGGGCACTCGGGGTTGGAGCGCCGGCGCAGCAGAGCCCGGCAGGTCGCGGCAGAGTAGCGTATGAAAATGATATTCAGGCTCTGACGGGCTGAGCGACGTGGCTGCGCAGGGTGGAACGTCAGCGCGTCGGGAAGAGAACCGAGCGTGGTGCCAGGCTCGCTGGAGGTGTCGCAGGCGCTGGGTCACGCGAGTCCGCCGTCGGCCGCGGCCATCGTACAATTCATGAAAGGCCTGGCCCTGGACTTCGACCCGGGCTCTGGCTTGGAGCCATGCAACTTCTGCTTCCTCGTCCTCGGCCGTGTCATCGAGGTCATCTCCGGCCTCCCTTACGAATCCTACGTCAAGGTTTCTCTCTCTCCCTCTCTCTGCCTCCTCAACTATCCTTGCATCCATTTGGTCAATCGCCCCACTCCATCTGTCCACATCGCTCTTCCCGTCACGTGAATGATCCGAGCTTTCTGGCCGATCCTTTTTCCCTGGATCGTCTGCCTTTACAGTAGTCAATGTTCAAACGAGCTCCAGGAGGAGGAGTGGTTCTGGGAAACGGGAGCAAGTACTCCGCGGCTGTTGGTTACGTAGTCTTCCTCGTATCTAACAGCAGCAGCGGGTGCAAGGCCTGCAGCAGCAGCTACAACACAAGAGCAGGCAGGAGCAGCAACGCGATTTCTGGTCCTCTGTGCCAAAAGCCTTAAATGCCTCTGGGTTTGCCAACTTTCGCTCCTGCGTTCCAGTCTGTCATGCTTGGCCAGATCCCCTCCTAGACGCAGAACTCTCCCAACCTACTACACTCCCCGACACTTCGGCCGGGTGGTGGTGGGTGAGGCTCAAAGCCCGTAGTGTTCGTTTGTACGACCATGCAATCCGGTCTAGGCTTTTCGGTCTACGACCCCCCACCCATGAAACGATGCCGAGATCGATCTATGATCCACTCGTATCGTATGTCTGTCTGTCTGTCTGGTTGGCTGTATGTATGAATCGTCGAGTAGATCTGAGCAGCTATACCGCCCTTGTCGGTGGAGCTGGTTGGAAGGTGAGCAGTTACTCCTTCACTCACTTCAGGAGGAGGCAGATGTCTTCGTTTCGTAGCCTGTCTTCTGTGAGTGTGTTCGAGTCGATGCCGAGGCATAATGCGGGTCGATGTGGTGTGTGAAATGGTGCAGAAGAATATTTTCGACGCGATCGGAGCGACGTCGTTCAGAATGGGGGAGACGAAGCAGGAGAAGCTGGCGGCGAAGGAGGCTCACTATTATGGACAGAACGGGCAGACGTCGAGCTGCCTCTCGGTGTACCCGGGGCAGGGATACGTGCAGTGCGACTACGGGTTCGGGGACCTGAAGGTATCGGCGAATTCCTACGGCGGATGGGTCGCCAACGCCAAGGACCTGGCCCTCCTGGCGCTCCACATCGACGGCATTCGGCAGCCGGCGCTCCTGAGAGACGATCTAGTCCGTGAGATGCTGCACGCCCGCGTCCCCGAGAACCGGCACGGCCTTTCCCAAGGTATGCTGTGGACCGTGCGGCTGGCGGGCGACGGCCGCGTCCGCAGCCTGGAGCAGAGCGGCGGCGCCATCCCGGGCTCGCACTCGCTGCTGCTGCGCCTGGTGGACGACGACGCCACCATCGCCTACCTCGTCAACTCGCGCCCCGCCCGGCTCGACGACTTCATGGTCTCCGCCTCCGAGATCCTCTCCCTGCTCGCCCGCAGCATCCGAAATTGGCCAGTTGACGATCTCTTCCTCGGCCCCCGCCTCCCCGACGATCATCTCCTTCTGAAGCGTAGCAAAATCTTCCGCTGAGCGCCTGCAGCATGCGGCGGCCACGGGAAATGTAATTTTGGCGAGGCTCGGTCGGTCGTTCGGTCGGATTCACTCTAGTGAGCTCCGCCGAAGCGCGAGGTGTAATTCATTGTAAATATATGTTCATTTCATTGTGCTCTCCTTCGATCCATCGATCCATCGATTCATCGATTCATTCATCACGAGATTTGAAGTCGTGACACAGAACGCTAACCAACCTTCGAATTCCTCGACTAGAAAAAACCCCGAGCTCGAGATCGTGTGCATGTCGTTGCCCGCCGCTGCGAATGCCTTCAATGCCACAATTTCAGCTTACGGGCAGAGATTCGAATCAAATCAAATCAAATCAAATGCCCAAAGAGCCATCGCATGGGGATCGCGTGTGCTTAAGTCCTCCTGGGATTTGAGCCCTGTATCAGAACCCCTTCCTGGCCTTTTCATCGACGGGCTGAACTCGGTGAGGTCGCCAGCTTCGTAGCCCAATGGAATGAATGTCCCTCGCCCCAGGTTCGAGACATGCGATTTTCAACGACCGCCGGTGCAGTCAACTTCCGGTGTACGGGATGGCTGTTGAGCTGTAGACAGGAAGGACGGCAAGTTCAGGACATGAATTCTCCACGGTCCCGATTCGCCGCTCTACGACCTTGGTCAGACCAATGAAAGCCCTCAGGCTGCCAAGCTCATAATAAATTGGCACGGGCCATGAACAGGAAGCCCAATTCGGCGTCGTGGACTTTCGTTGTCAAGGAAGGCAGCACGGAGATACGTATGGACACGCTGATCATGATAATGGGCCTGAATTCGTACATCTGTGATAACAGTGTACAGCAGAGTTTTGGTCTGATTACATGGAGTGGATTCGAGGATAAGCGGATGTTTCGGTGGCTCGTCGGCGCCGCAGCGGTGTAAAGTTGGCTTCGTCCAGTTCGTGACCCACCATTCCTGGTAAGGAAATTTTACCATCGGGAGGACGAATTTGCAACCTGTGCAGGAAAGAGCGACGTCTTCATACATTTTTCAGGAGTTAGAGCAACACGTGTCGCACGAGGATATGACGGCTTTGTGTAATTATACGAAACGTGGAGGCATTTGTTCTCATGAGCTTATTCTACCCTCGTGGAATATGCAAGTAGCTGGATCAAAGTGAACGGCAGAGGCTAAATGGGGATGAATGCAGAGCCTCGATGAGCGAAGAGGAACCCAGCATCCGAGAAAGTCCGAATGGAAGCAAGACTAACAAGGTTTCGGTAGATGTAGTAGCAAATTGTGAGTATTTTTGTATTCCTATGAAGTGTATGAACGGGTGATTTACGGACTCGATTGTCAAAGATCACGGCCACGGCCACTCGAATTAGAAAGGGACATCTTTGATTTATACTTCGGGTAATGGGAGTCCATACATCCTGCAGATCACATGTGACCTTGTGAGTTATGGTTAAATGGCCGGTATCATGCACTGTACTAAATCTTTTTCCAATATCAAACTTGCCCTCATCAAATTTAGTATAGTAGGTACACTTTGTGCGTGAATTTTTTATGTAGAGTTACAGTGTGATTAACCAAGAATCGAGATAAATTTCAATAATTTTCTCTTTGATTCAACTCTTGAGATTTGTAGCTTTGATTATTATGCAAAACCATCTAGAAGTATTTTTCATATAAAAAATTTTCTATATCGAAATTGATTCATAAACAAAAAGTGAAGAATGATGAAAAATATAAAGATAATAGTATTCATTAAAAAATTTACTTCCATTATTTATGTAAAAATATAAAATAATAAAATACCTCTTAAAAATCTCAAAATGAATTTTTTTATTTATACATTTGATACATTGAGTTCAATTTCAATCTTGACTCAATCACAATATATTGAAATTACTAATTGAGATATTTATAGTGAATTAATGATTAGATTACAACCAATTTAAAGATAAACTTCAAAAAAAATATTTATTTTATTTTTTAAATAGACACAAGTTCCATATTCAAACTTAAGATTTAAAACTAAAATAATTTTACATAATTTTGATTCAATTTTATAATGATCAAAAATTAACTTTGGAAATTAGATGGAGCCTGATGTATTTGAATAAACTTGCACATATGTCTGATACACATATGGGACAATTCTCAAACTATGAAGCAAATCTACATTTTTCTCATGATTCCTGTCATAAATTTTTCAACAATTTTTTAATCATTTTTCTTTTGATTTTTTATTACTACTTATCATGATATCTTGATCAAGATTTAGAATAAAAAAGATTTTAATATTTTAATATAAAACAAAAAATTATCATGAATATATATATATATATACACATACATACATACACACCATCTGATAATACTTGAGATATTTGCTTGATGGGACACATCAAGTTTCACTTTACCTAATGTGATACTACAGTACTGTCCACGTCACTGTCAAATAGGCTGCTTGAGAACGCACAGTTGTTTCAAGGATGAATTTGTCCTCAGCAATTCATCTGCGCATAAATCTTCATTGTGGCAATCTGGTGTTGTAGAGCTGGTGGAGCAGAAATTTGAAGAAATATCTCATGATTATCGGAGGTGGAAGGTGTACTCTCATATGACTGCTTCCATATCCAAAAGGATTTCTCCGATTCAATGTGCTTGTGCAAATTGTTTTTGATAGCAAGTGCAAACCTTAATGTCCACAAGCTTATTACGTTGGGTCGGAAAATCTTGAGTACTAGAGCATATCCAATTTTGTTAAAACTCCAGTGGCACGCTGTCGAAACCATCGCAGAAACACGAATTAGAATTTATTTGTACAAGAACATACCCATACTAGAACACTCATTAAAAGTCACCAACGGTGTGTCGTTGGTGGATCCCATCGGATAAATTGAAACTTATGGAAACCATCTACATATTTGTTTGATGGGATACCATCAAGCAAATATCTCGATAATACTTTGAACTTACATGTTTGAATATTTGATCAGAATTTGTAATTATAATACATGTAATTAGTTAAAAATTTATATTTGAGTATTAAAAAATAATAATTTGTATAAGTAAATATAAAATTCATAAAGCCAATATTCATTAATGGAAGAGTTAAGATTATGATACATTTACATTAGTGAGAATATAGTCTTCATTTATTTAAATCAGGATTGAAAATATGATGTAGCTTTACTTAGAAATTTTAATTTCTATGTAAAGATACATTATACTTTGAGTCCGATGTTTTTAAGTATTTTTTAAGAGAACCCTATTTCTTATAATACAAAATTATGTGATAAGAAAGTTTTCTTTCAATTAAATTGTCACCGTGTTGCAACACTATAAAATTTATATCATAAAATTTCTTTCGTGAGCTTTTTATTGTTTAGAAATCTGAACTCTTTTGCTTAGTGTGATTAGCTACTCAGATATATAATCACAACTTAGCCCCAATGTTAAAACTTCATCAAAATCAATATAATGATAACTTTGAACATACAACAAAATGTTATAAAATATAATTCCTGTGATGTTTATATACATACATAGACAACCGTCATCACAATAAATTTAGTATTTTTATATTTTGTCATCATTTTAATAAGCTCAACGAAGGACTAGCATTGATACCACTTTTTCTAACTCCAATCGTTCATTGATAATGATTATCTGCCTTTATCTCATACCTCTTATAAGAATCATATCCAATAACTTGGCTACATTTATTTCACCCAGATAATAGTGACAGCAATTTAACACTCTTTAGTCTCACCAGAACATTCAACATGAAAAATGAACACCAGAGACTTTGAGCAACCAATCTGTACCCAAAAGATGAGTTTCTTATTTTCAGCTTCCACCATCAACCTGACAATATACACTAACTTTGCAAAACAGAATGCAATTTGCATCCTCCAGTTTAATCTCCAATCAAACTTTGTAGCATGCGTTAAGTTTGTAGAGCATTACAGAGATGGGATAATTAGTCACAAACACAACTTGCAATAAAGGCAGTACAGAGAGATCATCCTTCAACCACTCCATGTCCAGAAATTAGTTATCTCAACTCACTACGAGCTTTTAGCTCAAAATCCTGAAAGTATGAACTCAACCATCTGCTTCTAGAACCTACCGATTAAATTTGGCACCATCGATGGCAGCAAAGGAAAATTGTCATAGCTGAACAAGGATGCAACCATGGGCTGAAATGAGACAGTATGTCGGGTCTTTGCCACCGGCTGTGCTGTTCTCACAAATGTTTATGTTCGCACGCGGAGTTGGTGACCAAGTTTATCAAGCTTGTGAGATGTCAGGCGCGGAGTTGGTGACCAAGTTTATCAAGCTTGTGAGATGTCAGGCACGCAGCAACGGCAGTCACATTCGCTATGGACTTCTTGCAGCAATGTGATCTGACATACATTTGCTTGCTTTATATACTTGCTTCTCTTCTGTGGCCTCTGCTCTGTTCATGTCGAGTAGATTTTGACGCAGCTCCTTTCTCCTCATGCTTGGTCATTCCTTCTAGGATTGTTTCTCAAAGCATACCCCAGATTCTTCGAGACAGAAAAGGAGACATTTGCAACTCTCTCATTGTAAAAGTGAGCATACATTTCTATTCATGGATTCCTCGGATGTTAAGGTTGATAGGTTACTTCTGATATCACACTATGAGTATTGTGACTATTAGCAAGATGTGATGTATGACCTAGTGCTATAGAGCAGGCAATGTCGATCACTGTAAAATTCTTCCCGAGAAAATAGACGGCTAAATTGCAGAAGCAAATGGAAGTACGTCGTTGATACTCGAAACGATGTCTCAGCGGACAAAGCTATAGCTTAAAACCTGTTCAGGGTTTAGGATTTATCGAGGGTATTATGCTCCGAGAATTGAGTGAGGTGATTAACCAAACGGCATGATAACGAAATGGGGGGTCTGCTGGAGATTAGGTTCAGAAACTTGAAGAGTTGCACTGAATCATCGCTTGCATTGCCGTGTCATGCAGAGATCGGAGGAATGCTGTTTGACTGCTCGGAGTTTTCAAACTACTTTACGTGCTGGTACAGGGAGATTTCTTTTCTATCTTTCGTTCAGAATGCAGAGGGACTGGATTTATCGATACAGGGGCCCTGCGAACACATACCCGGGAGGATAGCGTAGCATAGCATATCATCCTGAAAAATCGATGATTCCAATGCATAGCGTTCACAGAGATTCCAAAACAAGAATCAAAACCAGTGGGAGCCGATGCAAATTTTAGTATCCACATGGAAACATGGTTGGAACGTGGACCATGTAAGATATTTAGTCCAGCAGACCTGTTGGTTCTAGTTTTTCACTTGTACGCCTGATGTCCCAGTACCATTTCCAGCAGCGGTACAGGTAAAAGTGGACCAATTGGTCTTCTGGACGAATGCATCCAATGGATTCCCGCTGATGCAAATGGGACGCAAGAACACTGCCGCGTAGCTTTGAAATATTAGGCATACTTGTAGTACTGTACTTGTCCTCATTCACGAGTCATCGGAGGTCAAGAGCATCTTCTGCGACGGAATTCCTCCACGAGTGCCACCATCTCAGCGCGCAGGACTTGAATAATCGGATCCGAGGGTGTCACCCACCCAGAACTCAAACATCCAAATGCTCGAAGAGGTTGTTCCCTCTTGACAAAGCATTTCGTTCTGGTCCAACTATGCGTGCTATGCGTATGGGGTATGGATCAGGCCTTCTGAAACCAACCAAATCTGGACCACAGCACTCGAGGCATGAATTTACGAACCATTGACGACATCGAGCAGTAGCGCGTGTCTAAAATTATACCTCTCGTCTGTTTGGGAGACACACAATTGTGGGTTGGGATCGTCATCGATGTGTCTCAGATCAGCTCCTAAGGTTTTCGTGGAAAATTGTGTCATTTCAGGTGATGAACATAAGTACTCGCGAAGAAATCGTGGCTTGCAAAGTCTATAGATACAAACACAAACTGAAAATCTTATAGAAGTATGAGAATGATAATTTTTTTGTCTTGCATTTTATTGAATTTTATTGTTCTTCGGCTTATGAGGAAGAAGCAGTCGAAGACTTGAACAGATGTCTAAAACGTGGGCCAGTACACGGTGGCATTGCATCTCCCGTTCGGATAAGCGGGGCAAGGAATGAGAGTTGTTCCATCTTTATCGACACAGACGTAGACTTGATAGAGTTGGTTGTTTCCGCTTTTGGCTATGTTGCACTCGACCCCAGGAGTGTGCTCCTCTATGGCGCAGGCCAAAGCGCTTTGGACTTGCGTAACGTTGTAAGTGGCCGTGTCACTCGGCACGATATCTGCACATCCACGACATCCCTCCATCAGCCTCCATTCCTCACTTTAGCACCATGCCCACACTCACTCAGGAAGTGTCTACGACGCGAGATATGGTGCCTGTTCTGACACAACAGCGTGAATTCCTGGAGCTCACTTTCCAGATTAATACATGCTCACCAAACCCAAGACTCAATCAAACCTGCAATATGGCAATTGGAGGGCATGCTTGCACGCCATCACAAGCAACATGCTGAAAGCTGTTCACGGTTGCTCTTTGATTCGTCGGTGGTCAGAAGAGAAGAACGAGTAATAAGCTTCATTCTTGAACTGTGCAGAGAATGGTGACTCAGAGTGAGGAGTTCTCGGATGGAAAATATATACACGCAAGGACGATCGATGAGATCATGCAAGCACTACAAACCAGGCGCGAGAAGGGTGGAGACATACTCGCTTTCTCCAGCGCTGCTCCGAGGTTAATCGATTTCATGAGAGCCAGAGTCTTCGAGAAGAACTCGTGCTGGGTCAGTCCCGTACAGGTGCCGTGCTTCTCCCACTCGTGCTTCCAGAATTTTGTACTGTCGCTGCTGGGACACGTCAGTGTTCCCCAGTACTTATTCAACTCAGGGACCAAATCGCGAACCTGTGCACAAGAACTGAGACCCTTTAGACTTTCTGGGTGGCAATCCAATCTACAGGTCCTCGCCGACGTGATCAGGCTCTGATTATCCCTTCAGCACGAGGGCTAGAAACAAGTCTCGGAATCCACCTCAGGAAGAAGTTCTTACCTGCTCAAGATCGAAAGTCTGGCTTGTATCGCAGTCCTGCGGCCAAGTACCATCTAAAAATTCCGGCCATAGCCCGTGGATAGAGAAATTTGCTGCAGGCTTGCCAGTTAGCGGGTAGCAGCAGGCTTTTTGCAAATCGCAGTAAGATCCGGGCCACTGCAGCAGCACGATGGAAGACATATCTCAGCGTCCCTGGGGAACCATTTTCGGCTAGAACGGAAAGAAATTAGAAAAAGCACACGTGGGGTTGGAGAAGGAGAACGTACTTGGACGACGAAGTAGTAGTAGTCGAAATCCACCAACTGTGCTGATGACCTTGAGACCAACGCGAGGGCGAACACGAGTCCCAGCACTAACATCGGACTGGACTTCATTTTTTCTGATGTGATGTGAACGCGAGGAAGCGTATTTCAAGTCGAATTCCTGTACATGCCAACAGTGATGTGTTCAGTGGACCATCTACTGAGAATCACGTATCTGCCACAAATTCTCAGCTCCAGCATTGAGGCTATGCACGCAATTCCGACCGACCCCGACTGAATTCGAGTGTCAAAGGGAATCATCGAGAGGACGGCCATCTCTCTGTGCTCAGAAACTAAACTATCTTTCTCGCTTTACGAGGAGAATTCCCAGATACAATTCACCCAAACCGAATCGAGCTCGACTGAATTTCTGGTTCAAGTCAATTTCTTACGGCCGAACGATCTACAGGAATCGAACGAGAATTGATTTCAGGCTCACTGTGTCCCGCCAACAGTACACGCCATGCATCTCGACAATCATACTGTGGGCATTCGTGCACGTTTCCGACAAGAGCGAGGGTGATCACCTCGCGGGGTGGAGCTCACCTGCCAGCCAGCGAGCCGCAGTTGTAGTCGGGTCCGAACCGGATGCTGCTCGAGCACTGATGCAATATTATAGCAGTCTCGGCATCTCGGAGCAGAACGCAGGTCACGGTGGGGCTCAGAGCTCTTGTGGAACGACCCTGAACGAAGCTGCTTCTTATACCACAGGCAGCAGCTCCAGCCCCTGAGGAGGACGGTGGTCGACCACCGTCCAGGAAGTAGACTTTCACTCACGCCTTCAACTCCAGAGCTCCTGGACCTCGAGCTCGAGCTCGAGCTGTGCCCGGAATGTTCTGCCCACTCGGTGGAATATTATCATAACAGAGCAGCCACTGCCATGCTGATGCTTTGTTCTCTCGGACAGCGACCGCGAGCTGAGCTGCAAAGTGTCCGACAGGCTTTCAGTGTTCGACTTTGTTTCAGACTGTAGGCGCAAAGCTGTGGCTCGGCTCGGGTCGGAAGTCAAACTTCGCATCCATTCCGAATATTCTCTTACAATAGCAAACGCTTGAATTTATGGATGGACGGACGGATGGAAATATCGTCGCGGAAGTCAGGCACAGCAACTACTTCCGGCGGAAACGTGCGTATTTGTAAGCGGGGACTCGGGAGCGAGCGAGTGAGTAGCTTCATGAGTTGGACGAGGCGGTCGTCTTGTCTTGTCTTGAGGGGCAGCCACGCGCCCGTGGCCGTGGCCGCATGCATACGACGTAGAGATACTTCGGAGATGCCATTTTGATTTTTAATGTTTTCTACATACAGAGTAGTACGTGCCACGCGGTATTATTACATAGACTTTTGCCCGATGCTTTCTGTACGTAGGTTTTGACTCAGATCTAGCGATAGTAGCGCTCGTATTTCTATGCATCCTCTAATTAGGTGGGAGAGATGACCTAGAGAGCAGAGTGAGGAGAGAGAACCTAGGAGAGAGATGTAGTCCGGGATTTGTTCTTCCCTATATATCCCACCGTGGAAGTTGAACAAATAATTGCTTCCATTAGATTCCATTGATATCTGAATTAAACACTCTACAGAATTACGAATGAATACATTGAGTAAAAAAAATTACGCTCTGGAATAATTCTTCCATCTCTTTTGGATATTTCTTCTTCCAATATAGATAATGTTGAAATGAATTGATTGTATTGAGACATAGTTGAAAAGTTACCTAGATCTTAACAGAATTGTTTGATTGTTTTATGATTTTTGGTTTTGAGTGGATTGAAAATGATTTGTGGTGGTAAAGGTAGGAGGATATGATGATGAATGGCACAATAAATTTTTTAAATATCTTGATTTTCACATGTAATGCGATCATATTTTGGATGCAACATGTCACCACGAGATGGTTTATTCACTTGGATAAAACGAAAATTTGGTTTCATTTATAGATTGTAATTTCTGCCACACTCCATAATCATCACATACAAAATAAATTCAACTAACATGTAGGTAAGGTTAATCATTCCTATACCGTACGTGAACGTTACCGCTCATACGGCTTTGGCTGGTTAAGGGATGGTTCTCTAATAACTCCTGAAAGCGATAGGGGCTGTCGGGGTCGGTCTCCCAGCGTAAAGATTGTGTTTCGTTGTGAAGATGAGCCCTTTGCTAATTCTAAACCCTAAACACTTATTGTACTCTTTATATAAAAGGGAATATATGCATAAGTTGTAGAATTTCGTAAAGTAGCACCTTAAGTTGGAGGAATCAAACTTATTATGTCAAGATACCAACGATTGTATTTTTGCGATAAATCATTCTTCACAATAGTTGGCTCTCACAACTTTTCTATTCCTCGCTGGAGCCCGGCAATACGACAACCCCTTTCAATAAGAAGGCGGCTCGGGGTTGCATTAGTAACCACCAGGAACATATTCACGTCCAAAGAGCTTGACTTGGGGAGGTGGTCACTGAGTACCCATAACGGCCTTAAGGCACAGATAACCGTCAGGAGGCGACATAGTTCGCACCGTAGTTAGTCAAGAGTATACTGTAGTCAAGAATCCACTCCGCGCTGCGACCCAGGGTTACTTGATCTGGCAGGAACAACGACATGAATGATGTCTTGGCAATTGTGCTTATGGATCAAATATCACGGCTCGTTATCGTCACAAGTTGGCTCGTAAGGAATTTAAAAAAGTATAGGTATGTATTATTGCACTACGAGAATCTTAATCCTACCACACGCCCTCGAGAAATCTATGTTTCACATGGACAGCTGTGCAGCGCCGACCTGCCATCAGTGCAGTGCATCCGAAACCACAGTTATCGTTGGTCGGAATCTCGATTCCAAGCCATGCTTTCCACTCTCACGATACATCTGTCTTACTCGCCCGAAATACTTTTATCCTTGGGAAAATAAATATTATGCTGGGTGAATAAAATAATTTTAAATTTTTGGAAGCTATTGGAGCCTGAATTCATGTTACATTCTTTTAGAGGTTTGATGATGGGCCCATCCTTGTTTGCTATAATATTCGGACCAATTTTTAATTGAAATCAAAAGATAACGAGATTAAACAGCGTTGCAAACAGCGTTTTGCTTCGCTTTCCGAACCACTTTGGGTGTCACTTTGGAGAGATGATCGGCGACCGATTGACTGTCAGGGCAACGTCGTCAGCCCGTGGCCATTCCGGAACTCCTTGGGCTATGGCTTAGTGATGCCAGGCCCGCCCCAGCTCGTTAGACCCGTCGGTGAAGTGTAAACTGCCCGTAGGTCGCATGCGGCCAACTTGCTTGCTCTGTAGACCACGTGATTCAGTTGCGGTCACTCGGCAGAATCATCGATCCAGTTCGTTAACTGTGCAGCACGAGAGTTCAGATAATATTTGTTTTGTTTGGAGAGGGTAAGAAGAAGCTCCGAGGGTTCTTCTTCTTCTGTGTACAGCTTCAATGAGGAGATCCACTCGGATCAGAGAGATTTCGCTGGGACATGATGGAAACCTCTCTCTTTTTAGCGGTTAGTCGCAGCCTGCCTCAGACTTCTCTTCCTCTCGGCATTCCGGAGCTTGAATCCTTATTACTTGCTTGACAGCATGACTGGGGTCTCATTCCTGAAGTAGGAGAGGTTCTTCAGCTGGTAGTGATGGCGGATTACTTATTGAGCTGGTTTCTTATCGCTAACACGAACAGAAGCTACACCTGATGGCCGTTCCTTGTTTTCGTTCTCTGTTCCTTACTCGCTTCGGTCCATGACATATATTTCTTGCGATGCTCTTCTTCCGTGGGGACATCATCTCTGACTGCTTGATCCGATGACCGTCTTTTAGTTGACGGACTGTAATCTGATCAATTCGTCGAGTCTCAGGAGAGTAAATCTCTACCAAAGCAGTTTTGAGAATTACTGGAAAGTGGTGGTGACGAAGTGCCTACTATCCATCTGGAGATCCGTTCATTTTGGTAACTTGTCATTACCCGCCATTATCTCATGATCCTTGAGTTTCAGCATTGAAAGCCACGTTCATTCCCACGGAGCTATCATCATGTGTTTCTCAGAGGTGCTCCTCATCTTTCCGAGCTGCTCGTTCCTGATCAACCCGTGTTATGATATGCATATCATGCGATGATTTTCATTCCATCAGTAACCTCCAAACGCCGTCCATTGAAGTGCAACCAAGCGGTAGTATAGAAGCAGTTCCTCAATTCCTCAATTCTCGGCATGAATAGCCAGTATGCTGCAGGTGCTTGCCAAATTCAAACCGAATTTATAATGAAAGAATGTGAAGGACATGATATAGGATGAGCTGCTAAACATCATACCTTCCTCTCGGTAGTCAAAGTAGTCGACACTACTAAGCCGTCAGTATCATGTGTTCTAAGTAAGCGACGACGTTTTCCAGGGGATTCCATCCAGGAAAACTCGAAGTAGAAGGATTGCGATCTGCCTACACTTCGGCCTACACTAATGGGTGATGTGATTGAGATGCCTCCTGGTAGCAAAACTGTTTGAAGCCCACCATCAAATGCAAACACGGACCCTTTTAACGTGCCTGTCAACTTAATCTTCAATCCTTTACCGCTTGTTGAAGTAAATTCCTGATGAATCACAGGCAGTTGAAACTCATTAGTCAGGTCCAGAGAACTGTCTTCAGCCTATAGCGCAGCTTGCCCAACCCTTCTTAACCTCAAGACCTTTCTACTGGCATGGATCGAATCTGTCCAATGACAAGCTCTAATGGTTGACAACATTCGCGGGTCTCGTATTTAAACAACCCCGAGCTATTAGCAGCTGAAAAGATAATCATGTGTATTCGCCTAGCTTCGACATATCTCGAAATCTAGCACAACAGCACCTACTTTCTCCAACTGGAAGCTAATAGCTCACAGATATCAATCATATTTTCTTTTCGTTTCCATCAGTTAGATCGTCGAGTGTACACCCGTCCATCACGATATCACATTCGAAGAAAACGAACCTAGCAGGCTAGGTTCGGCTAGGTTCGTTTTTCGTTACACCTAGCAGGCTAGGTGTAAGGTGGACAGAATGTACCTGTGTGACCCTTCCATCTTCCATTTTATCGTAAGAGACAGTTACGTCGCCTTCAGCAATCGTTGCTCCATACATTCCGGTTCTTCTCGTAACTGCGTGCCCTTCCCACCTTCCCAACAAAGCCTCTACTCTGTCTGTCACATCATCCTGTCCACGAATATGGAGCACGGCCTTCACTTTGTAAGTGGATCTTAAAAAACCATTTGGATGACTGAGAAATCTCTCGGCTAGCACAGAAGAACTCCTCACTGGGTTCCCTCACATATGCAGCGCAAATAGACAGGACCCTGAGCGACTGTCCACAATCCCTTCCGGCTCCGTCAAGCAATGCTGTAAGAAGGCTTCAGCGGACATCTTTCTTTGTGCATATTGTGAGTACTATGTGATAACCATTTACATTCAACAGTAAATTTTCCTACCTGAAGGAGATCATTCTCCTCTAGAAAAGTCCCGTCCACCTTTTTTTCCACAAAACAAGCGATCACATCGAGCAGACCTCGTGGATCCAGCACGTGAAAAGCTCGAACTCGACGAAGTCCGTCCTCAGAGTAAAGGCAGCTCTCGCTAACGAGAGCAGGTCTGCGAGATGGAAGTTTTATACCTCTGCAGAGAATTTCAAGCGACAAGATAAGCGTAGGATACTGTTTACGTTATACATAATGTAAGTAGGGGTGCGACTGGCTCTCTGCGGTTGCTAGAGCATTCACCAGTGGCTCTAAAACTGCTGTAAGTCCTCTGAAATCTTATACTGGTGAAGCCAACCCCATCAAATGTTAGGTCACGTTGACAACAGGAATGGTCTCGTAGGGATATGATTGAGTGTTCTTTAAGCATAGGAGCCCTTAAGACCCCGCCCGTCATGCAAAAGAAAAGAATGGTAGGAACTGGCAGACTTTTAGTCCTACCAAACTTAGCATGGAACATACCTTCCAGACAAGGTATAGGCGATGCCAAATCACTGACGCAACAATGTATGAGTTCAAGTCCTCCTATATGTGGGCCTGTAAAGGGGTGCAGCCGCAAATCACTAGGACTCTGTCGAATCATCATCAAAATGAGTGAGCAGAGTGGTCCAAGTTCAAGCAGCTTACAATGGATATTCCTCATCCTCGTCATCATCATCCCCCAGAACACCCGCTCTCAAAACTTTCTCCAACATTTCTGCAGTTTGATGAATCAGACAGTACGCTTTTTCACCAGGAAAGTATCCGATCTGCAGTCAGAACCACCATGGATGCTTAGCATCATTCTCATAGATAAACCGTTCCATAACAAAATTCGGCAAGCCCCATCCGACCTCCCAAGAAAACCGACTTGGTATAGAAAATCACCTGCTGCCGCCGTTCTACAGTGAAGAGATTTGTCTCGTCTAATTTATAATCAGCCCACATGGGCTCCTCCGATTCTCCCAAGGTTCTGGTTTGCGCCCTTGGTTGTTTAATATTCAGACTGCGCACCAGTAAAACCAGTCATCATGGATATTGTGAACAGCTTGTATCACAGAAACATCATCAATAGAATACAAGCGTGTGAAGCCTTAGTCCACGCAGCTATGTGGACTGTAAGTAGCCCACTTCATACGAACTCAAACGTGTTCAATACAAACTGAAAACAAAACTCACGTTTGAAGGAGAGCAACATCTGTTCCCTTGCCGTAGGTGTTTGCCCTTAGTACAGTGGGTATGCGCTGGAGTATCGTTCCACTCGCATCGAATTGCTGAATTTCGGTCGACGCATTGAGAACCAGCTTAGTCCCATATTACTCTAGATGGAATGCTAAAGTTCATTTCATCTGAGGAGTTCCTAAGGTAAAATTGGAAGCAAACAATGATACTGAGCTGAAAGGATGAAAATCTCATACCAGAAATTGCCCAGACCACGCCCCGAGATTCAATTCAGCAAATTCCTCGAGAGCTTCCTTGTTGAGCCCAATCACTTCTGGTTCATCCTCGTCGCCAGGCGAGGCAGTGGCCCCAGACGACTCAGGCGCCTGACTTCGACACACTTGAGCTGAATTCGTCTTCTGCCTCTCGTACTGAATGCAAACATTCGATCTCTTCCTGCCCAAACCCAGCTCTTGAATTCCATGCCCGTGGCCGAAGGACAGAGCAGAAACACGGGGTGGCCTCGTACACTGCTGGCTAATTGTCCAGAGACGGGAACAAGAGAGAGTGGACGGCATAATTACACCTTCCTTGTTCTCCCTTGCTCCTTGGGAGCAAAATCAACGAGCTCAGACACTCAGACCCCCAAAACCTGCTGCCGCAAATTCACCTGCAGTCCGGTTGCTTATACTCTGAGGTCTCTCCACACCATCAAGGATTACAATGCACAGAGTTCTCGAGGGCCAAAATGGTACAAAGATTTTTTCCCCGCAGTCAGTGATACGTTCATTCTCAGTCTGAAAATAAACAGGACTATTGCTACAATCATTATTACGCTGGTAAAAAACAAATGCTCGCAGGCTATGGCGGCTTCCAGCTGAAGCTTACCTCTCTTTCAGTGAAGCTTTCCTGTAGAGATACAAAACCTCGGTTGCGTTCCCAGCTATAGGATGAGATCCGACAGGGAAGGACGAGCGAGAGCCGAGGGAGAACCACCTTATCCACTTCCTTTGGTTTTGCTAGAGGGCCCTGCCCTCCCTCCCTCCCTCACTCACTCACTTTGTTCCTGGAGCTGGAAATGCTGTCACGAGGAAGTGACGTCTACTCAGCACTAAGCAGCACTTAGATGGTTCTTACGTCTCCATATTTGGACATGCTTTCTCGGATACAGGTCAACACATGTTTCCCCCCCTTAGCAACCCAGACCGCTTGTATGATCGTCGTGACTTTGAAGGGGAATTTATTCGAGGACTCGTTCTTGCCATCGGATTTTAATCTCATGCACCTCCATTTTCAGTCTTGAAGTCATACGAGGCACATGTGGCTCGTTGGATCGACATCCGTTTGCTTCTCACCTTACGCATTGATAAATTTCCTCCGTAGCAACTGGCTGGCTGGCTGGGCTGGCTGGCTATCGACGAGGGAACGACCGCATTTACAGCATTTCCTCATGCCATCTTTAACACGAATTGTACCCAACATCCACCATTCATCGATTCTGGCATTAACTTCCATAAACTTTTCAACTTAACCAACCATCGTACATCAATTCTCGTGCTACGCCATCTTCGATTCTCATCGCCTTAAGGTTACATTTCCAGTCACATCTCTTAGCTTAAAATTCGACGTACGAGCATGTAATATTACAAAGCCATGTCACCGAGCGAGCGAAAGAAGTTGGTGAAATGGTGGACGCGCAAATTGCTCGAACAAGGGAGTCCTGGATCACGTTAACGAACGTCGTCCGACTTCGCCGCTAGGGTACAATTGATGGTCGAAGGTGGGGGGAAGGGGGGACGAACGGATGGCGTAAGCCGCAAGGAATCGTGGGGGATGGGGAATGGGGAACGGGGAAGAGAAGACGCCGACTTTGTCGTGTAGCGCGGGCGGGACCGAGAGAGAGTTGGCCAGTGGACTCCGACGCTTGGGACTCGCAGCAGAAATCGCCGGCTCCAGCTTGAGGCTCCGGTGGCACCACTTGTACCTCGCGTGCTCGCTAGAATCCCGAGCAGTCATTCAGTCAGTCAGTCTGTCAGTGGCGATCATTCGTCGGGCTCGCAGCAGCGTCTGCCCTCTTTCTTTCTCGTGTTGTGCTTTGGATTTCAACGCAGAGGCTGTGAACGGTTTTTGTGCAGAGGTTGAGAGAAGAAGGTCGAAGGGAAGGGAAGGGAAGAGAAGGGTTGGAGTTTGGGTCGGTCGAGAGGGAAGAATTTCTTGGTCCCGGCGCCTCTTCGTCGTCGGTCTTGGGTTGGTGGGCGAGCGTTTCTGCTGCGGCCAGCCGTCCGTCGCCATGGCGGGCCGGGGTGGGAATTTCATCGCGCGCGTCATGCAGTACGTGGTGAACGAGCTTCTTGTGGATCGTCTTGCCAACAACCAGAATTTCCAGAGATTCGCCGTGCGATCGTCGAAAGCCATCGAGGAGCTGGCGGAGAAGGGAGCCCAGAAGAAGGCCGAACTGGCCGAGCAAATGAAGGAGATTACGGAGACGTTCAGTAATGAGATTTCCAAGAGCTTGAAAGACGGCGGCCCTCCGGACAAGCGAAGACATTGAGTGCCAGGAATCGTGATTTGAAGTCGATGGATCTCATAGTCTCGAGCGAACAACTCTGGATTCTTCGAAGTTCGCGGTCGCAGAACATTGTACTCCACTTCACTAGACAAGGTCGAGTAATCCATAACCCCTTGAATGTGCTGGAGGTCGTGGACGGACATTCGAATTGTGTGCTTAGGGGCTAAAACCTAATTATGTCTTCTCATGATTGTGAAGTGGCAATCACTTGGGATTATGCACTTTCTGTGACCTACGCGGGCTTGTAGATCCGTCAGCAATTTCTGAAATTATTGCAACTTCTGAATCTTCAATCAGTATGAGAAAAAGATTTCACCCACCCTCGTGATACATCACCCAAGCTTTCTCCCGCGAATGAAATTGGAGGAGTGCGCAAGGGAGGTGTGCGGGCTGAGCGCAGGAAGGAAGACGGGGAAAGTGAATTTTCGCGACCTTGAGGAAGAAACCCGACCAGGAACGTGTATATACATAAGGAGTGAGATTTAGATTTTAGATTTCGCCTTTTAACAGTGGGAAAGAACTCAAGTATAAAATCTGGGGATTGCAAGTTGCATTAGTCTCCAGACATATCTGGAAACTGGAGTGACTGTATAACACTCCTTGGGTCGTGCAGTTTGCCTCCAGGTTCAAGTGGATGTTTTAGCCCTTGGATGGTGAAGTTTGTGAAATACTATACTTGAATTTGGTATTTGAATGCTTACTTTCTCTCCATTCTAGGACCTGGCTTCTGTTTTCTGCTGAGCTTTTTGACTTTGACGTTTTTGCGACCAAGTGGATGAGATAATGTCTAGAACTTTCAAGGGCATGTGGACGGTTTGAGAACTTTGATGGCATAGTGTTGAAACAAAAGCTATGTCGAAGATTTGCAAAATAAACGTGGACGAAAAGTATAGCAGAGTGTAATGATCGAGCAAGAATTAAGAGGCTTTTGGATTACAGCAAATAAAGAAGTCGTTATTTTTTTCACCAACAGCATCTCATTCTACATGTTTTAGCTCAGTCCAAACTAGTCAATGTGTTTATGTCGAGAAGGAGAAGCGCTCAATTTGTAAACTGAGGTTGATCGTGTCGAGATTAAAACATTGTTCGATTTGGAGATCTGGTAGTAAGCTAAGCAAACCTAGGCCGAGATTTCTACAAGAAAAAGTAATAGTCAAAGAGATGATACGGGACAGTACTGGCAGGTCACAACCGTGCAGACGGTTTCTGAAATGGAATGTTTTAAAGTATACACCATGCGCACGATAAGAAACCAATCAGGGAGGGGCGGATGAAAGCAGAGAGTAAAGCTAGTATAGGAGAGGAGGAAAATCTGATAGGATATAATTTCTAGTAGAATCGCAAAAGCCGGTGCGTTTATGTGCACTCAACCATTTCGACACGAAAATCAAGAACGGAGGGTTTGAATGATTGAGGATTACACAGATGAGTGCACTACCGCACTAACACTTTGCCCACGTCAATTGCAGCATTAGGAAAGAAGCTTGATGCATGTTGAAATGACGGTGTATGTCTAGGAACGGATGCCAGAGTGCCTAAGTAAATATGACACCTACGGGGATGGAAACAACCCTGAAGGACGTGGAAGGGAGGTTCTGATATAAGGATGATAATTCTAACCCTAGAGAAAGGATCGGCTTCTGGGGGTAACCAACATTTTCCTTCACAAGCAAAATATTAGTGGCCCAAAATTTATTACCTGGCAGTGCCGAACCACTGTTTATCCGGCTTAAATTATCAAATAGTAGAGAACACGAAGAGAGATATAATATGCACGATCTTTACATGGGAGAAGGATTGGGAATGAAAAGAACTATTCCAATGGAAGCATGAGCGGATATGAAGATTTCAAAACGTAAGTAGGTTGAAATTCTCATCACCCTACTCAAGATGAAGCCGGTTGACAGGATGGTCGAAGAGGCCGAACGACTAAGCATCCTCCGAAGCCTCCTCAATAGATTGACTGCAGCAACGATGGATGCGGTGCAAGTTGAACGAGACGAGAGAAGAGAAGACGTGTTCTATTTGGGCGAAGTTAGATTATTTAGAGCGCGGCTGGAGCGACATACGCATCGAGTTGCTTACGACCGATCACGTGGGCTACGAGATTGAGCAGAAGAGGACCGGGAATGTGTGCAGCGAGAGCAGATACAGCTGTCTTCGGGCTGCAGGAGACTCTGGGTGTAGATAGGCCAAATGGAAGAAAATTGCTGTCGTTCTTCAGGGTCAGTGAAGAGTGATGTGTAACGAGGATGTGATTAGGACTGAACACAAAAATTAGCTGGCAAGGGGTTGCAAGAAGGTTCAGACAGCTCACTCTCCACCGTCACGAGGGGCTGAGTCAGTTCAGAGTCTTTCATCGCTATGTTTGTTACGTTCTTCGATCTAACGCCATGGGCCATGGGGACGGACCCTCATATCTGCGCTTATTTAAAGCAGAGCCCTAATCTTTAGTTCCCTTAAAAAGCAGCGACGCTCTTGTAGCTCGTAGTCTGCACTCTATCCCTCTTTCCATACAGAATGGGAATCCCAAATGATACTTCTAAGAAGAACGACTGAGTCAATGAATGTGAAGCGTCGATAGGAATTTCTGAGTTTCAACAAAAGAGTCATTGTGCCAGTCTGCCACGCGTAAAGAAATTGCGTCAAGCTTGCGGAATTCTGGATCGAACTAAGAAAGATCGTTTCAAAAGAACATTGTATTCTTTTAAGGTACGGAATATACTATGACGAAGGACAGACATATCATGACAAGGAGCAATAGAAAGCGGAGTCGAAAATCAAAACTTCTTCACAAAAAGGATTTTTCTCATATATTTTTTGTTGAATGTATTATCAGTCAACAAGTCCTTTGGACCCATGGTTTGCAACAAACTGTCGTTCATCTCCGTCGCACCACTTCCACCTTTTCTGACCATGTTCGTCATACCAGCGGTACGTTGAGAATACCCAAAATGTTGATCATCATTCCAGTTGTGTGACACTAATATCACCGTGAAGAGAAATTAAAGATATGAGGAGGGACTGCTAATGTGGCTGGGAAGTTGGTGGGTGTGCTAGACCCTAGATGTTTCAGATTACCTACTACGTTCCATATTAGCTTTCTGGCGTAGCCAGCTGGTGGAACCTTAGGGCTTAAGATATCTCGGAAAACTGGCTTTTCTTCTGTGTTAAGTACTAAGTGTAAAAGTGCTGGCTTTCAAGACTGATCTTCACTTTCTGATCGTCCTTCTGTTTTCTTTTAGATGGCTTCAAGATTTGAATTGGGTGGACATCGAGGACTATGCTTGCGATATTGCAACCCACGACTCTCACTGTCCAATTGAGTTCGACTTTCTTTCAAGGTAATGTCCATACGAAAATACATAGGTGTTAGTTTGAAAGTGGTTTTGGTATCTGTTTAACTGCAACTCCCTATCAATATTCTTTACAGGACGCAAATCAGGTGTGGACAACATGCACCAATTTCAACAAGCTTGATTGCCCGTTCAAATGTTATTAACACTACCAGATTGTATGCTACTCTGCATAAAACCTGGACAGCGATGCTGTACAAAGATACATCTGACAGTACGTTGATAACAATACCGATGTAGCGATAAACACTTTCTCGTGAATCATCATTGACCAACATGTTATTATGCTTTCTCACAGAACTACAGGTATACCTGAAGGTTTGAAGGACTCTATGAAGGATATAACCCTCACTTTCTCGAAGGGAAAAAATTCGAAACTCTTTCCACACGAACCACAACTTCCATCGCTGTCTTCCTGTCCAAATTCCCAGTATGTTGAGTAAAGTGCTGCTTCACAATCAAATTCCATTGCATTGACACTCTCAGCACTAACCGTCACATAACTTTACATTGGCTCACAATGGAGTCGATTGCGGTTGAGTATTATATAGCACTACTAGAATCACGAAATAGCAGGTAAAAGCACCGCTATACTCGGGGCCAAACTTTCTGCCATTTCAGCTGAATGAGTTGCACGTGCACTATATCTCAGCCTCCTAATAGCGTACCTGTACGTGTGTCCACTGGTAACTAGTTCTTCCTTTACATATTCACAAAATGTATGAACTGGGGTATCTGGTCTTTTTCACTTGTAGGAGTAATGGAAGACATGCGATACTCCAAGAGTCGGAAAAAGCCCAGGTATAATGCCTTGAAGACCTTGGTATTAAACTAGTCCGTTTAGAAGGCAAAACCTTATGTACCCTTGTAATGAACAAAAAGACAGGGTGGTCGTACTGTGATTGATCCAGATGGAAATCTAACGTGGTAAAATCATGATGAAAAAATCTAATGTGGGAAACGGAACAATGAATAACAACAGGATGGGATTTTACTACTGGTACAGATGACTAAGAAACAACTGACTAAGACTCACGTACATGATAGAAGATGGGATTTTACTACTGGTACAGATGACTAAGAAACAACTGACTAAGACTCACGTACATGATAGAAGCTTTCATGTCCACAAAATTTGCTCCTAACTAGGCTAATATACACTTTAAACAACTGCACTAGAATTTCAGCAGAACCATTGTAGTGAGGAGTATCCTAGATTGCCGGTAGCATACCGCGGGTCCTGCCATGGTATCCGCTCGTGCAATCTTTGACCTTCCGCTGGACTCCACCCAAACCCAATATTGGCTGTTTGCACAATAACCTTAACCGCATTGCGCTAGTACAGCACAACTGAGTTTGCTCTAAAACTCGTTGAACCTCTGACAACATGTACGCCAGCCCTCTCCAACATTTTTGGATAAATTCTTGACACTGCACAGATGTAAGGCGCCAGCTACAATGCCTGTCTTGCTCCTTTCCACAAGTTGTAAACAATCTTCTGTGAAATAGGATTGCCAAGCTCATACTCACATCTCCTTTGATGAAGCCCCACTACTTCGAGTTTCGGACCTGCTTGCAAAGCAAAGCTCTTCAAAACTTCAAAGTGTGACCTACTGTCTTAGTGAATGACAGATTCTCGCCAACATAATACCTCAAGAATGTGATGAGGATCCAAACGACTGGAAAGAGACATTGCACCCCACCGACAGCCATCTGAAGGGCAAAATTGTTTATGTACAGACTGTGCCCGCAAACTTACTCTAGTATTGAGCCAAATCACTGGGTTGGTTGTCCAAGCCAGTACGCTTGGAAAGAGGTGAAATGCACGCAGCTCAGAAATTGAGTTGACTAACCAATGCGCTTCGCTAACTCAACGTAGGTCAGACAATTGTACATCTACATTGTCGTCTGACATTCAACCATTCGTCCTCATCTGTAAGGTCGTCGTCGTCGTGGTCGTCGTCATCATCGTCGTGATTGGCAACGTATGAGGGCCCGGTGTTCGATGTGCGACCCACTACGCGACCACCGTGCATGCTTATAGTAGGACGACTGTACTTGTCCTTTGCACTTCCTTTGCTAGATCTGAACACCCAGTACGTGCTCTAATCAGCATACAAAGACTGAAATGTAAAACGTCTACTCTAACTTGTAGGCAAATTGTGTCCAGATACTTATCTGGACACAATTTGCCAAACTTCAACTATGACATATAAATATTACTGGTGGGGTAATGTGATAGTTACCCACGAGGGGAAACTACAAGAAAAACTCAAAATGACAAACATGAATTTAAAATTTGCAGCCTTCCTACCTCGATAAATTCGTGGATGTCTTGCTTTTGAATTTAGTTTCAAGGTTGGCTGAATAGCCCGTCTCTAAAAACTGCACAATCTCAGAAAAATCGGGCCTTCTCAATGGATCTTTGTCCCAACACCTTGTCATGAGCTTGGTGAAAGTAGAGGAAGACACATCAGATGTTGGGGGTCTATGGTTCTGCAAAAAAAATGAGATTAAGAGTAAGAACGGTAAAACCTTATCCTCAAAATAAATCTATACTTAAAGCTGAAGTTCCTTCACAACTCGTCTTGACAACTTACAGCAAGTATTTCAATAAATCAATCTAGAAAGATGCCCTCTTAAAAGTACAAACGCTTCTACACTGGCTTCTGGTCGAAAACATACGTCATTGGCGACAGCATGGGCGAGCTGAACAAATGACATGCTTTCAAAAGGTAAGAGGGACGTGCAAAGCTCCCACATAACTATCCCAAAACTGTACACGTCAATCTTCCGAGTATATGGCATGTGACAGATAACCTGCACAAATTTGAATATAAATATCATGAGTTAAGACGACCACACTAACTACACTAATAAACCATACCGAGAGCAGGGGGTGTACTACAAAATCTTGCAGATGTCTAAACTCTTCAAAAGGTCAACCGAACTGCAACACTGGACCTAGAATGCGAAAGAACCATCAAAACAAATTTCTTGGACAACGTACTTCAACATTTCTAGCATAAGCATCCGATTAACACGATACGCACATGCGTAAGATTCAGATCGTTCAACACCGGTGCCCAACCTAACTTACTGAATGATGAATATCGACGACGACATGGTATGCTTCTCTCAATAAGCTTAACCATTTTCAGATACTGACGACGAAGCAACAAAATGTTGAACGGTAAAAAAATCTCCGAAAAATCAGCAATGATTTTCTCACTGAATAGAAGCGACATTTGTCCTGGATACATTACGGCACATACCTCCGGAGCCATCCACCGAATGGTACCCGTCTCTGCAGTTAAATTGCCCGGGTCCTCTGTCTCAAACCGGGCTAGACCAAAGTCGGCAACTTTAACTCTCCCGTTTTCATCCAACAAAAGGTTGGCAGACTTCAAATCCCGATGCATGATATTATTTTGATGTAGGTACTCCATACCTCTGAAAATTTTCAAACAACATCGTTATCTCTAACCCAGTTAGTCTATAAACAGACTGTATCATCTCCCACTAGCAGCATGCCTGAACATACCTAGACGTTAACGTTGGCAGACAAAAGCAGGTTTACCCTCATAACAGCAAAGTGCAAGTTCCACCGAACCTGCTTCATGCTACTCTAGAAACCAACTGCTAGCTGCAATTTAAAGACTTGGAAGTCCTTGATGTGACAGCCTCAACTTATCTTTCCTGTTATTACTGCCCTGAGGCAGCACCTTTTGCTGTAACTCTTGTCGTTAATGATTAGGAAGCTATCACAGTTCATTCCTTCATCCTATTCAACGGTTCCTACTCTTCATTACCAGCCTTCAAAAGGAAAGCAAGGGGTGTCTTTCTTCTTTAAAAACTTGAGCTCACATCGGACCCAAACAAGGTTCTAAATTATATCATTCGAACTTCCTTTTGCAAAAAATAACTCAAAAAAAAGCGTCGACGAAAGTCGTGTTTTTTATACGTGCCTCGCGATGTCCAAAGCCATAGCTTGTATAGTTCTTTGAGGGAGCTTTCTGCGTTGCTGTCTCACAAGATAAGCTCTAAGAGAGCCTCCATGAAGAAATTCAGTGACGATGGCCCATCTTGGTGGAGTGATATAAGCACCAATAAACTGCAGGAGGAGAGCACGCAATGACTCATTCAACACCATCCTTCAGGTTATCCAAGTTCCACGATGACATTAAATATGTGAAGAGAAATCCACACAATTTGTGTGCCCGTAAAGCTGAAATGGGAATGGTTCTACTTTTTAATAAATGATGTTCACGATAAGTCAGATGTAGGAAATCTCTTCCAAGGATGTGAACTAAAATCCACTGGCTGGGGACTTACACCTACACACTTTAGGTTACACTGCAGAAAGTTCAGCCCGGAACATCCGCGAGCAAGAAAAACATCAAGCTTCTCGCGATGCAACATAAGCAGATGTACAGCCAACTAAAGGCTACAGTAGGCTGCTTCTACTTCAGTGGATCCTTTCGAAGGATACTCAACTGTTCTAACGACCTACCTCGCGCACTTCTTGTGTGCAGGCTTTGTTAATCTGTAAGTGGGCAGATTTCCACTTCAATAAACTTCTGAAGAAGAAAATGTGGAAATGCAGCAGACGCGACATCCAACAAACCCCAGAAGGTCTAAGATGGAAAACAGCTGCAGTCAATGATGCACAGAACCAAACGCTTGAGGAGACAGAAATTTCTCGATCCATTAATCCCTCTCACAAGGACCACCTTGTACAAGTTCAAGTTAAGAGAAAAGAGCTACTGAGAGTAAGAAGAGTAGAATTTGTAGTTACCTGCACTATGTTCGGATGGTTCAAAGAGTACCAGACATCGATTTCTTGGCGAAATCCAGACTTCAACTTCATCGATTCCTTCATGCTGGAAGCTTCTGGAATCAACAACATCTTCACAGCGACTTTCTCATCTTTGTAAAGCCCTTTGTAAACCATCCCATATGAGCCGCTTGCTACCATTTCTCCTAACTCTACCTTGCTAATATCAATGTGCCAGGGAGAATCATGGCTCGACGACTCCTCGGGTTCGTCTTCCCCTGCTTGAAAATTATCATTGTGGCCATGGTACGAAGAAACGAAGGGGCTTCCATTCCAATCTGCGAGGAGCATGTCAGTTGCATTGTAGGTTGGATCGGCAGCAGGTGAGACCAACAGCGGTACCAACTGCCCATGCTGCGATTCCTCTGATGATCTTCTACCCCTTCCCTGCCCATGTTCGTTAAAGGTAACCTGTACTCCACCAATATCCTTATCCTCGTCTCTCCCCCTTTCCGAAGAGCAGGAAGAGTTAGACGCTGTTTGAGCGCTGCTCGCTCTATGAGAAGACTTTCGAAAGCTACGAGTTTCGCTGTTTCCTACCGCAAGGAGGGACGAGGAGGGCTCGTCATCCTCTTGAGAATTATCTAGACTCTGAGATGCTGCAAGCCGTGATTGATGAGTAGAGGCAGACGAGCTACAGATCGACGACGATGAATTGTCATCCTCGAGAGGATGGGAGTGAGCAGGTTGGCAAGAAGGCGAACGTTGGTACGGAGCGGCGATGAGAGTGGATGGTAATTCTTGAGGAACATTACGGCTGGTCTCCGAAGCAACGCTAGTGGAGGTGGTGGAGGGAAGACACGCTTGCGAGGCCTCATCCATGCGCGACAGAGGTCCGCTCCCTGGGGCTAAAACCTTGGTGGTGGTGGTCGACACGGAGCTACTGCTGCCGCTGCTGCTGCCTCTTCTTCCAAGACAAGAAGAGGAAGAAGAGGAGCAGAGCTGAGATTGCGTTGAATTGTCATCCGGACGAGAACAAGGAGAAGAAAAAGAAATAGCAGGAACTGAATTATAATTTCGCTCGCTTTGCTCCACTGCCATCAAAGGTGACCTTTAGCCCATCAAATTTGACCACCTGACTGACTTAAGTAACAACGCACCCTCCTCAAGCCCTCGATCCTTGTCCAACTCGGATTCCGCGGGACAAGATAACATCGTCCCAGCACATAGAAAACAGAGTCTCCTGTCAATGCGTCCGCAACATCTGAGGGAGCCAACGACTGAGACCGCCAATAACCCAGACAAGAGATTCATGTTACACTTGGCCCATGTCTCTCTGAGATGTCGCTCGTAGAATCTGCCTTGAACCTAGTCAATCAGAATACACATCTCCCTCTCGGCCTCCGAATCTCTCTCGCTACGCTTCTTCCTCTCCATGAAACCCAGCACATGCGCTCATTCCGCCGTTTCCGAATCCATTCCGTCGTCACTCGCCTGCTTAGTTCCTCCTTTCCGTCCGCCCGCGACTCCTAAGCTCGCTCCTGAAAATATCGGAATTCACTCGCGCTCGTCGGTGGGTCGTTCGTCCTAAAACCACTACCCTACGGCAACCATTATCCACCTTTCCTTTCCTCTTTCCTACAACTACCAGAGTTGCCCACCTGCGAGAACACTAGCAACAGACTTCTCCGCCTGCGACCATCCATCACTTTCTTGGCCTCCTCTCAGGAAGGGAAAAACAACGTTGCCTTCCCCGGATGAGCTGGCCCGGCGTCCTCCATCGGCCACAGCTGCGCCGGCGTGCGTGCGTGCGAGGGCAGCGACGGTGCGAGCCCCACTCGCGCTCACTTCACTCACTCACCCACGCCGGAACAACGAACATGCATTTTCGAATGAGGCTCATGAGGTGAAATGAATCGTTCGCAGTCAGACGGACAGACAGAAAGACGATGCAACCTGAAAAGAAGGCAGCAGCAGCAGCAGGCAGGCTGGTACTACACTGCTCCCCCCCGCCTCGTGTCCGCGGCTCCTACTTTCGCTCGACCCCCAACCCGACTTCGTAGTCCTACCACTACTGCTACCTCCACTCCTCCAAAATCTCATCCTCGCCTGCTGCTGCTGCTCCTCCTGCTCCTACAGTGAGACTCTAACTCGGCCGACCGGCCAGCGAGCCAGCCAGGTCGTCAGCCAGCCAAGCCACTAACCCGGCCTCCACACCACACGACACCAGACTGAACTGCACTCTACTCCTCCGAAATCTACATTTACCATGGAATTTGGATGTTGACTGCAGCGATGGCCGAGGCCGACGACAAAAAAGAAAAGAAAAAATATACGAGAATCGAAGGCAACTCCGACTCGTCACATGTACTGATGAGCGAGTGACAGAGCGTACAGTTTCGCGGTAATAAAACCATGGCCCGCGGCAGGGGTCGGTCTATCCTGGGCGTATATCATCTGGCCTGCACCACCACCTCATCTGCATAGTGCCCGCTACGATTATCACCATCGCTCTCTCTCTCTCTTTCGAGGCGACGCTCAACGCTTTTGTTTGCACATTCACCAACTTTCTGTCTTTTCCCGAGCCTCGATGTCTCGCCCGCTCTCCATTTAGAAGCGCTTCGCCCCCCGCTTTTCTACTCGCCAGCCCGCCCCGGTCGAGCCCGAGCCCGAGCGCGGGCGAGAGCGGGCGGACACGCCCTCCCCCGGACGCTCCCGCCACCGCCCCGCGCCCCGACCGTTCCGTCCATGCGCGACCTCTGCCGGGCCGAAGCACCGTCTGCGCCCATCCTTCATTCCTCATTCCTCCTTCCTCATTCCGCCCTCTTCATTCCCCTGTTTATTCTCGGGGTCTGTCCGGGTTTTATTTCCGCTTTTTTTATACATATATTTATACACGCCGCTGCTATTCTCCACCTCCCGCCCGTCAATTCTCTCCTTCGGCCGTGCATGCCATTCCATCCTATTCGCGTCTCAACGTGGATTTCTAAATTATTGGCGTCTAGGCTCTATCTCCGATCACGCGTCGGGGCTTGAAACCTGAAACTTCTCTGCGTCTGCCGGGACGTATTTCGCGTCCGCTGTTGGGCCGAGAGGTGCTGGACCACCGACTGCGGCGAGACGAGCTACCACGTACGAAGAGTACCCGGTGAGGGTCTTCCGCGTACGTGGTCAGAGGCCGATGCACTGACGAATCTCTACGCATGTGGCCAAACGGAGGAATGAGAGCTGCGGTTCCCGAACCGAGAAGCCGGAAGACGACAACTCCTCTGTATATGTAAGTCGGAGGGGCGGTCAGCCAATCGCAGTCTAGGGATAGGCTAGGGTCATTCATTGTGATAATATCCATCAATGATCTAGACGGACCTCGAGAGAGAATTCCTGAAAGGGTGGGCTAGGGCGGAGCATACTAACGACGAACATCGAGGAGGATTGGGGAGTGGTCCGGCAAAAAAATGACGCAAAGCGATGAAGCTTTGAAGCCCATGATTTGCCATCAAGTGTCCGAGAAATATCGGTGTCTCGTGCAGTTGGCGATGTTTGTGTGGTTCTGTCTGTGAGTCGTTCATTCTTTTGAGTATCATGTTTTTGAGTCTGATTTCTGCGTGGTTCTTCCTCGCCCACCCTTTGATGGTGGTTTTGACCCTAAGCTGAGTCTCTAGCTGCTTGCTTTTTTTTTGGCAAAGAGAGGACCCTGAGGACCCCACCTGAATAATTGTATGATAAATAGTGGAGGATGAAGGCCATGTTGGACCCGGAGTATTTCCGACTTTTATTTCAACAAACAATGGAAGTGGAAATTGGTGGAGGTATCCACCAATTTTTCTATTTGATGATAATCGCATTTTGGAGCGAGTTTCATTTCATAGTGCAACTCATCCATGTCTTGTTGAAGAAAATTAACTCTCGTGAACAGCTATAATCAAGCACTTTGTTGAGAAACCTAATCGCCGGTTGAGGTTGGTTCACACATCCTGATTATCTGTTAAGGGTTCCTTCTCCTAAAAGGTTCGGCACTTTTTCTGAACATATGTAGGACCGCGACACTGGAAGAGATGGCTAGAGATTCGTCAAAGTGTCATGGGTCAACCGCTAGAAGAAAAAGTATGTTTTTATAACTTGGAAGACAAATTGAGAAGTTCTTTCAGAAAGGTACTTTCAATCTTGAAAATATTAATGATCAGTTTCTACTGTCGATTTCAAATTTGTTCTCATTTCAGTTCAAGTTATAAAGTAAAATTACAAAAGATTACTAACAGAAAGGTATCCCCGAGGATTATAATGAATTAAGTAAGAAAAACTTTTGACAATAGTACCGAGAAAATGCCACTAAATGCACACCCAACACAAAAACTAACACCCATAACAAAATAGTTTGTGAGAGAAGAAACCATAAAGCTGAACTTGGATATAACTTGGAAAACATTAAATTACATTTGAATTGCATTAGTCCTGTTAAGGCAAAGATATTCAACTTGCAATCCATATCTTAAGGAAGAGATATATACACATCTATGTATTAATCAATATTATAAACATGAATTGAATTTCAAATTGCACAAATTCAGCATAACAATTTATAAAATATTTTTTCTTGATCTCTAGAATATAACATATCAATGTCTACCTCCTAAGTTAACTTAAATAGGAAATAATATTAGATATGAAAGAAAATGAATCAATTTATAACGTTTCAATTAAACAGTTACAATATTTTGAACAATTTTATACTGATGAAAAAAATCACAAGTGAATAAATTATAAAAATATTCCTAGAAACATTCAAAATTATAATTTCATTAATAAATCTTTAGATGTCGTAAATTTTTTATCACTGTTTCTACATCAATTATATTTTAAAATTTTAACTTTATCATTATTTGTTAACTAATTAAAAAAATTATTTATCTAAAAAATAAAAAATAAAAAAATTTACCCCAAATGAGTGTTATAAATTATTATTTTTGAAATTCACATAACTAAAATTTGTGATGAAAAAAACCTCAAGAAACTTTCTCTAATTTTAAAATATTAAAAATATCATAAAAAAATTTAATTATTGTTAATTTGCTAGATTCACTTGTGTATGAGATTCTAACATTATCCACTTGAAATAAATAACTGCTATAATAAAGTGATATTTGAAAATTCTTAATGATCACAAAATTTTTTAATTCAGATGTAAACAATGTGATGAAACAAAGATCCAAAATTTTGTTTTCAGAATTTTTATATCCATGCCGAATATGTAATAAATGTTTGAAAAATATATATATAAGTAACGAATGTAAAGTATATAAATAGTCTTCAAATTAACAAAATTGAAAATTTTTGTTCATCACATTGATACTATAAATATATTTAGATGAATTTTAGCTTTGAATGGTATTTTGAAACTGAATGTTGCTTGAAGCTTTTGCAAATAAAAATATAATGTAACATGATTATCATTTTTTATTTAATCTTATTTGAAATATAATTAGAATACATTGATAATGATGATCTATAATTAGAATACTTTGTTAAGATGAATCAATAATATAATATTTAAAGCATTTTCAACTATATCTTAATGACTTGAAATATTGTTTGCGATGTATATAGTGAAAAAATAATATAAATTCTTTGATGAATCATGCAACTTGTACTATAATCCTATCAATGTAACAAACTGGAATCATTAAAATTTGTGATAACATTAGCATTCATGTTGATTCAATATTTAACACTCAAAGCTGAGATCATTATCATAATATTCATATCAATTTTACATTGAGTTTTTTCAATGCATTGTTGAAAAAATAAATAATCATGAACTTGAATGCAAGGTTATTATAGAAAAGTAAGATAAAATTGAATATTTTTTTTAATCTTATACAATATTTGTTAAAAACTCCAACATATTCAAATTATTTAAGTACAAAATTTGTACTACTGATAAAAAGTAAAATCTATTTTCAAAACTGTTGACTATTTTTTTTTATGACTATATGTTGATGACAAGATTTTATAAGATTTTACAAAAATTAATCCAAATGTATCAATAAATTTTAATATTTATAGCATTAAAAAAAATAAAAATGGTCCTTTCAGAGTTTTTCACTAATATATAAAATTAATAGTAACCAATTACAACATGAACATCATTTGAAATTAAAATTATATGAGTTCACTCATAGCAGATTTTCTTCCAACGAATAAAACTAGTTTTGATGATCAAGCGAAGTTAAAAAAATAATACTGTGAAAAAAAACTAATTTAATTTTAATGAAAATAAATATTGTAAAATCTGATAATCTGGTAACTTTTTGTTGTAATATGCTTTGACTTGAACATTTATACTGAAAATTGAACGTTCAATGCCAATACATGATGCAACTTGTGTGCAATTAAAACTAAACCAATACATACATCATTTGATCTTGACTAAAATTAATTTAAATTCAGCAAAAATAAATTTAAAAAATAATCAAATTTTAAAATATGTATTTAAGAAATTAATGAAATTACTTTTACCGTAATTTGACGTATAATTATAACTATATGAAATTTTATGATTTACAAATATTATATCAAGATTAAACATTATTTAAAAATATGTTGTAAGAAAAATAATTTGTTAGAGTATCATCAGAATTGTGAAGTGATGCCAAACGATATAGTATTGAAATGATCAATGTAGAAAAAAAGCTATTTATCATGAAAATTAAGTGATACTGTGAAATTTAAATTATAATACTTTCATACCGGTATTTAAATTTGTAAATATTAATTTAAATTCATATTCAAGTTTTTAAATTCTAATTTTTTTACTTTGATTATGTTTTCGATATAAAAATTTGAATATTTAAATAAAATCCACTCCAAAAATAATCATTTCTCAGTGCAACAACTCATACATTTTTTTTCATTTCAAAAATTAGCATCTAAAATATTTTTTACTATGATCAAATATAAAACTGTAGATATTTACTCTTATTTTGTTTCATCAATCATTAATCATCAAGAGATTAATGAATTTCAAAAGATGAGTTTATAAATTTAGAAATATATATTTAAGAATAATTTTTTAACCGTTTTCTTGTTTTGTTATTCTTGACTAATCTAACATTCTATGTTATCTAATACATTTTTTAAAAACTTCTTTATAAAATTTAAATTGTTTAATATTGAAATTTTTTCTCATGATTTAAGCATTTAAAAAAAATACCAACTTGTTTTTGTATGGCTGAATGTAGTCATGCAGAATTTGAAAACAAGTTTTTAATGCTTAAGATTTAGAATAATATGATCAATTAGTCATATGATTGTATCATTTGATGTTGAGCAACTTGTCATCTTAACAATAGAGATAAACGCTTAAACATGAGATTTTTTTTTAATGATTTATCTTTGATCTTATATACCAAATTTTTATGAAAATATGCTTATTGCATAGACATTTGCAAACATGGATTAGTGTTTTACAATCACAAGGGTTTTGAGTACAAATATATCATTTATTTTTCTCTAAAATAATTCCTAAAATTTATAATTGCACTTGCATACATTTTATCTAAATGGAATATATTGTTCATGCATATGTATCCAACATATACAAATGTGCATACAAAATTGATAACATTCGTTATCATCAATTTTATTATCATTATAAACATCACAATTTATTAAACATTAGTAGTTACTAGCCAACATGTATTACAGATCATTACTTTTAAATATGTTGATATCATTAACTTTCAGTATGTGTTTTGTGTTGTGAAAAGAAATTATTAAATTAAACAAATTTTTGATTTATATATATAAATATAAATATTTACAAATGTCGTTGTGCGATACGCTTATATCATATCATGTATAAGATAGTGATGATTGATTAGTCATAGTTTCAGCTCAAATGCATCAAAATTTATTTGTACACCCGTCTTTCAAATATATCAACATGGTTTTCTTTCTCAACTCTCCAAAGCATTATATGGGAAAAATCAAAGAATACTAGATTACATGAAAAAAAAAACTAGAAAATTTGTAGCTTGTTGAACGTTTTGAATATGTTATTGATTATATTCAGTAAATGATGTTGCATTGCAAATCACATCAAATGCATGTATTTACTATGTTCTTATGCTAATATAGTCTACACATTCATCAAATGATAAAGAGACTCATTCCCTATAGATTTTGAACTTTTTGTACCAAATTAATTAATTTAATATATCAAATTACATATAATCTATGTAGTTTACAACATCTTCATCACACGATGATGAGTTGTCGTACGATAAACATCATCATGTACTAAATTGATATTCTGACTATTTATACTATAGGTACTTTCCATTGTTTTGCTCAAACTACTCAAATCAAAACGTCATGTTATCTCATGACTAACTTTAAGTGCTCACATGAGAATCATATATATTATAATATATCAGTACATAAATAATCTCATCAGCAAGAATTTAAAGGTATTTTCAATACAATCATAACATCATCAATCAATCACTAATATGCTCATGTCTGAAACAATTCTCACATAGCTTCGATTCAACAAGATCCACGTGCTGATCTCAATTACAATCTTTGTTGTAATGTAAGATTCACCTTCAGCAATGATTAATATGCACACAGAATCCGTTTTTCAGAATTCTTATCTTATTGGATGAAAATCTATTGAAAGGGTTTACAAAAGGGTGCTACATGGACTATTTTATGGTACACACTAAGGTATCACAAACACTAGCTTGTCATCCATGGAATGAAGGTGGGATTGGGTGAAGGGGCTTTTCAGTTCCGCCTTTTCTGCCAGATGGAGCCTCGTTTGGGATGCTTTTGAGTAACCGGAGAGGCGGCAAGTGGGGAGAGCTTCTTCTTACTTGAAATGGACCCGTTCAAGATTTTGCCCAACTGTCGCCCAGACATGGTCCTCGTACCTCACTCCGGACAATTGCTAGCAAGAAAAGGTCTCCAAGACTTTCAGCTGACCCTTTTTCACATCACACATGTTGAAAACATGCCTGAACTGTTGATATGATGTCAGGTGTTCTTGCCTCTCCGGCTTACGGTAATCCCGCACAGCCAATCGCTTCCAAAATTATGATGAGAGGGTTTATCGATGCACCATATTGAAACCAACAAGTTTCGGTGCGATCCGGAGTTCCGACTTATGAATGATTCTTGAGGTCGAATCGAATAGTTAATAAGTCATCATTATCAGATAATTGCAGGATGAGATCAGACTTTGTCCGAATCTCGAAGCAAGCAAGGAGTTTCAGTGATTGAGGACAAAACATGAATGGATTAAAATATGGAACACTTTTGCCGTGGTTACCTGAACCATGTCAAATGTATGTAATGCAAACTTTGAGATCTAGGAGAATCTTTGCTGAGTATTATCATAGAAAGGAATCATGATGAGCTGTTTTATTTATTGTACTTTAAAGTACAAAACAGTGTCATGCTTTTACCAAAAGTACATCTTTGAATGAGCTGAATGATGGAAGTTTCGAAACGTAGTACTCAAGCCTAAAATCAACGTCATCTAACTCTGAGTGTACTTAAATAATTCATAATTTCAATAATTCTGTTCATTGAAGATTTTCCAAAGTGATTAAAAATTTCACACTTTGACAACAGTAGAAAACAAAAAGGTATCATTTCAGAAATCTCTGTCGGACATTTCTCTGTACGTCAATGGAATGAGTATCTGTTCCAAGAATAAGAGACACAGGTATTGCCCCTATTATACGGGACAAACAGCAACTTGCTTGGTCAAGAGTAGAGAAGGTAGGGTTTCCACAAATCATCTTCTTCTTGAGATATAGAAATATTAAGGAAGAAAAAAAGGAATCCATATGAAGAGAGTGAAAAGATAAATAAGTTGAGAGAAAGCTTTCAAACCGAGAGTAGACCCACTAGATAAACGACGTTTTCAGGTATCTGCCCAAGTTCAAGCAGGAAGCATTGAAATCTCTTTGGAGCCCAGGTTACAGAAGCTCTCAAGTGTACAAGTATTGTTTCTTACACTCACAAACACGCTAAATTTCTTCGATGTATCTGTGTATCTTCCGTACCTACTCTTGCTTACCTTGGATCTGGGAAGCTTGTGATGGATAGGTTTCTCAGTGTCTCTTACCTACACCGAATACACCCAATTGAACATACATATTTAAGTCTTCATAAAGCCGGCCGCTGTGCATTTGGATGGATACGCTTTAGATAGTGACATTCATACGAGCATTGTGTCATTTTCATCTGTTCAAGTGGATTTCTGTTCCAGTATTCGTGATCACTGTATAACCATCGACAGAAACGAGATGATGTGTGCGTATAGTTATTTCGTATTATTTTAATATGCACGTAGTATTTGGATTGCAATGAGAAACTAGCGCGAGCTCATGTGTTTTACAGTGTACTTCTTCAAGAGATCATGTACGTCCCACAGGTCCACGTTCGAGAGCGAGAATGGGCTCCCTTGAAAATAGAAGGCTCTCCATCAACGAATGAGCTTACTCGGACGACCGATGTATAGCAACACTACAAGGACAGAGAAGGACCACACATGATTATTTCCCTCGAAGAGAAGTGCACTCGAACACTCAGACTACGTCCTCGAACAGCGCAGTTCCGGGCGAGAAACAACAACAGCAACATCATCATGCACACGCATTATCAACACTAGAACAGCACGGCACTAAAACTGCAACTCCCCCGCAGAACAACAACACCACCATCACCACCAGCAACATCGCCCTTCAAAGAGAACAAGCTCCACAAAGTCGTGATCTCGCGAGCGGTTCTCTGAATCTGGTCCGAGTCGCACTCACCGGAAATCGACCGCAGCATCGTTGTTCGTGCGGGCAGCGCTCTCAAGAGAGAGAGGGAGGGGAGGCCTAGTCCGACATCTTCTTCCCTCGTAAGCCCGTTCTCTGTTGGCTTGTCCGCTCTCGCTCTCGGTCTCGTCTCGGTTTCATCCCTCCACGACGACGGAGACGCGGCTCTTCTCATTCGAAATTTCCATTTGAACCGGAGCTAGTCCACAGGCAAGCGGAGCAGTCGTTGGCGCGTGGGCGCGGAGGCCGCTGTGGGCGGGAGGAGCTGCACAACAGTAAGAACACCGCTCGGAGCGACGGGGAGACGACAATTGTACGCATTTCAGCTCTTTACGCGCAGCCGGGACGGACGGACGGACTTCTCCCTTGCCCTGCGTGAGCTGGAAAGCGATCACGTGTCCCGCCGCATGAGCAAGAACCAGCGAGAATCTCCGGGCCCAAAGAATTGCCGAGCAAAGAAGATCCCCGCCCCCCGCAGTCGTCTCCACTGACATGGCGTCGAGCGGTTGGATCGTAGCGCAGCCCAGGGGCTGAATTCGTCTTCCTTTTCTCCCCGCTTCGTGATCTTGATGGAGTCGGGTGGCTCCCTTCGTCGAGGTCTTCGCCGCGTATGTTGAGGATTTCCCGTGCATGCGATGCGATGAGGTCGCGGAAGGAGTGACGCACTACCGTAAAACTGGATCCGAGTTTCGAAGTCTTCGAAAGTTGGAGATTCGTTTTGGAGTCGGGCGGGGAGGAGGAGATTTTCTTTTGCCCGCGTTTTCGGAGAGTCGATTGAGCGAGTATGACGAGTCGAGGCAGAGTTTTTGCCAGGACCATTCTGCGGTCCATCTCTCAGTACCGCGATCACAATGTGCCCGCTGCTGCTTCAGCAGCCAATTTGGTATGGGATCTTCCGACTTGCCTGCACAGCTTGGCCGGCCAGCTTGTGAATTATATCTTATTGTGGATAGATGTAAGTTGTCATCTTGTTCCACGTCGGAGCCCATTGTGTTGAGGCGTTTCTAATGTCTTGAAAAATTTGGTTGATCTCCAGATTAAGGACGAGGTGAATTTGGCAAGACCCAGAAGTACAGGGCTGCTAAGCGGCACGTCTGAAAGAAGTGTCCTCGATAAGGTATGTTCACGGTCAATTTGTGTATATCACTGGATTTCTAGGGCAGCACGCATGCTTCAACAAGTTCACACTGATATGGTGTTACCGATAGTTTAGTCAAAATTTCATCTTCTTATATGCTTGGCTGGTTTTGCAGTGAGTTGCCTCTTCTTTCTCACTAAACAGTTTCATGCAGGCACAAGGTGGGCCGGTTTGGTTTTACGCTGCCGCGGGATTGATGGCTTTTTCAACCACTACCGTGGGAAGTGCCAGTCCTCATACTGACGCAGAGGAGGTATTGTGGATCATTCTCTTCCCACTGTCCAGCTCTTTTTACCCAAGATTTGATCCTAGAATTCTGACGTGAACAAAAATTATGAAAGGGAGTTGATTCTCACCACTCCCTTTCAGTTTGACTGGTGGGCTTTAGGTTCTGAGCGAAATTATGTTCTTATTTATCGATCATGTGTGATACAATGATATACATGTGGACAGAAGGGAAAAGATTTCGGAAAGATCGATAACACATCCTCAAGACCGAGAGTCGTATTTGTTCTTGGTAAGCATAGGATGCACATCAACTGCTCCGTAAATCAATCTGTGACCTATCCGCACTGACCAACGCTTAGACAAGAGGAGCTAGGGTTTCGACTGGCCTCTCAATTGAAAAATTTACAAAGAGGGCACACAACCATGTATGTTGAGAAAAGTGAGGGCAGATAATCCGCGGTGTGCAATCTCGCTCAATTCAAATGCATGCCACGTTTGGGCAGGCGGACCAGGGAGTGGAAAGGGCACCCAGTGTGCAAAGATAGTTGACAACTATGGATTTATACATTTAAGCGCGGGAGATCTCTTGCGAGCTGAAATAAAGTCTGGCTCACCTAATGGGTAAGACCTTAGCTCCATGGGCCACGGGTAGAACATCATTCTTGCTGTTTTATTCAACGCTCTCTGAAACTGCCTGTTAGTAGTCTGTGCAACAGTTTTGAGAAATGGATGGTTTGAGCTCTAGATGGGTAGTCCTTTCGATTTGGCCTTGCATTCTCCTTCTAGGGAGAAGGAATCACGAGTCACTTAAACCACCAGAATTAGTCCACGTTGGGCGAGGATTTTGAGTTAGCGAACATGCGAGTGGTTTGGGTTGTCTGGAGTTGTTTGTCTGATCCTTCCCTTACTTTTCATACCTTTGAACGTGATGTCCCAGCAACATGATACAGAACATGATAAAAGATGGGAAGATTGTTCCTTCAGAGGTCACCGTCAAACTGCTGTTGAAAGCCATGAATGAGGCCACTACTGACAAGTTTCTGATTGATGGATTCCCTCGCAATGAAGAGAATCGTCTTGCATTTGAGAAGGTGGTACGTTGATCCGTGTATCTCATTTTGTTTACAGCCATGAATGCAGTAATTTTGCTCGTGTTTTTGGAGCAATTTTTTGGAAACCAAGCAAGAATCTCAAACAATAGAATGTTCTAGCTCATCGTAACTTTTCTGACAGACTGCTTTTTACTTCAGATGCTGCAGTTAACTGACACGGTCTAAATGAGCGTTCTTTATGACATTTGTGTTGAGTTCAGACTGGCCTTGAACCAGAATTTATACTCTATTTCGATTGTCCGTTAACGGAGATGGAGAAGCGTCTTTTGGGGCGTAATGAGGTGCGCTTTCAATAATTAGTGGAATATCCCCTTACTGAGAGTCTTTATTAAGGTCGTTTAAATAGCAGTGACGTGAAGTGTGTATAGATATATCAAAGACAAATTCGCAATTAACAGCACAAATGAGTTAACACTTTAGTACTTTAAGCACCGAGTGCACTTTTGTCTTTATAAGAGTCAATCAATGAGCATAATTTTAGTGTACAATATAATCGTAACCGTATGATACTGAGCTTTGCCATCATATTTAGAAGCCTAGAAGCGCGTTGCGTACGTCTGGTGTTTTTCATGCATAACTTGTACTGCAGGATCTCCAAGTAGATTTCAGAAGTCATATTTGCTACTTGTATTTTCTAGAGATGCCAATTACATGGTTTGGTAATCTTATGATCGTCGAGCGTATTCACAGTGAAGGCTCCTGGACAAAACCCGTAAAACACGTGTTACTGACTTTTGATGTTCCATACTGTGCTATCCTCGGGTTCAGGGTCGTGTTGATGATAATATAGACACGATACGCAAGCGATTTAAGGTCTTCATTGAATCCAGTCTTCCCGTTATTGACCATTACGATAAACTTGGTAAAACTCGCAAGGTAATTCAAAAACAGTAAAAGTAGACATTATATATGAATGGCTAAAACGTTGCCTATTCTTTGTTACTGTTCAACATTGAATCCTTTATTTACTACAATAAAGTTGTGCTTGATTTGTGTAGAAAACGAACATGCTCACAATTCATGACTGTACAGGTCAATGCCACGAAGACGAGGGAAGAAGTTTTCAAGACAATTGAGCCACTTTTTAAACCATTTTTGGAAGTAAGCACAATTTAGATGGTGTCTGCAGCAGTAAGAAGTACTATCTAAGTTTTTGAACTTTTTCGATATCCCAAATTTTTAAACTACACAGCTCGCATGGATCATATGGCTTAACAATGGTAACTTTTGTTGTGGCAGAAATCATCGTGTGATGGGCTGAATCAGACCATCATGCAATATTCGAGTGGATCCGCAGTCCGAGATTAATCTCACTGAGGAAGTTGCATATGGTGATTTTGTAGGTGTTGTGATCTAGTCACGTCTGCAACCTCAGTACTCCCCAATTTATTCCGTCCTGTAAGAACAAAGCCTTATGCTACTTCTGCTTGATCTTCATACAATACTGATTGGATGAGGACAGAGGAACCTGGTTGGGAAAAGAGGTTTGAGGCGACGTTGAAAACCTTTGGATACTTGAGCTTTTTGTTTTCCTCAGTATCCAATGACGAATTGGCTCAAGGCTTACAGTTAATCACTGACTTTATGTGATCAGCAGTTGAAGGAAGCTTTTCAATTCTATATTAGACGAAGGACCTGAAGTTATATAGCAGTGAGTGAGGTTATCATGTACATTGCATAACCTCGAGTGAGAATTCGCATGAACAAGTTAGATTCAGATTTGCTAAAATGCAAACACTTTGCATCTAGTTGCAGGTGGATTCAAAAAGGTTCTACCTTTAAAGGTCCCAAACCTTCAATGACATCAAACATTGTACCTGAAGTGAAAAATTGTAGTTTAGAGATAACACTATCTCCAAACTACATATCTGTCACTCTTATTACAGTTTTTGATGGAGCGAGTTCATCATAGTATGTTCCGAAAACCTTCAATCGGATTTTGGTGTTGTTTGTGTGATTGAGGATATACTGCCGTTGTGATCACTAACAAGCTATTGGACTTGGTGGAAGTCTAGCGGAAGAATATATAGAATATTCGAAAATCTTATCCTGAAATATTTTGCTTTATTGCTGCTGTACACACGATGCTAGAGACGCAAACTATTCAATATTGGTCTGAGATAGTGGACAGAGAGATGTCAATTTACAAGAGATATCACTGATCTGTATTATTTGTTTTATCACCATCATTTTATAATTTAATTTTGGTCCTCTTTTTAATTACTGCGAGGCCTGGACTATACGGCTGTAGTCTAACAAACGTCAAATGTTAGAGCTATTGCGTTTAATCGTCATAGAATGGATATGGTGTAGATGAAATGTGAGCAAGAGGAAAACAATGTGCAGTTGTGTTGACTCGTATTGGATAACACACAATTGAATTTAGAGCAGCTCTTGAGAAGATGGGTCCACAAAGAAAGGATGTCAGCTACGATAGACTTTCTTGAGTATTCTCATTGTTTGCCCCATTGTTTATCTCCATATCTATTATATGATCAGTTGGAGAGACTGCAAACAAAATTGATGTAGTTGGAAATGTAGCAAGCGGTATACAACCACCAACAATGTAAAGATAGCATCAAAAGATGCAATATTATGGCCTGTAAAGAAATTTGTCTATTACTATGTTATCCCAATCAGAAAAATGTGAACATTTAAGTAGAGCACATTTTCAGTGTGTTTGCAGATACTGACTGACAATGTAATAACACACATAGTCACAAACTCGCAAGCACACAAAATCTGCGATGCCAGATTCTCGTAATGACAGCATCTTTATTGTAGCAATTACAATTTTGTAATTATACTAGTGTCGTAGATGACGTGTATCCTTTAGAAAAGTTTTAAGCATCGTTCACGAAGCAACAAGTTTCAAAAGAGAGAGAAGATCTTTTTAGACAGAAGGTATCCACGCTAGTGGATACCTTCTGGAATGTACGCATTAATTGGAATTGATAATTGTTAGAGACTATTGAGGTGAAAGTCTGAACATGATATATCATGTTCAGACTAGTGAGTTGATTCTAAATAACAAGAATGTTGATATATGTTCGTTTATATCTTGAACCAAGATTTGATGATTTTAATTAGTGGTGTTGGATTTTCGTGCACAATTTGTTCTTGCTTTGCAAAATATATACACATGTGTGTACATTTGAGAGCCACACATCTTGTGACGATTTTAGTGATGTATTGGCATAAACAAAATATTTTGCAATCGTAACCATGATATTTCTACGATACACATATGCATGTCTTGTATATTACATTTATATATTTTATGAAAAATGGATGGAGTAAGCAATATCACAAGACAACATGTTATCAATGCAATCTTGCAAGTTCAAAGTGAGTCGATTTTCTATTTATAAGTATAACAACATATGTTATTTAATATTATTTTAAGATGAAAAACACATTTTCAATTATTATATATTTATTTTCAATATTTTGTGAGTCCAATGTGAGTCTATTTTTTGTTTATACCTAAAAAAATTCATTTTTTCCCATTTTTAAAAAATTGAAAAACAAACTGTTTTGATTATATTTATTTTACACGTACTTGGACCACATATTTATAATTCATCATCAATATAATTATTAATTAATGAATCTGAAAAAAAATTCAAGAATGAAGATTACATTTCAAATGTAAATTTAGACATGTAACTTTTTGAAAGAAGTTTGCTTGTCTTCACAATTTTTGATTGAATTTTTGAATATTGATTGTTTAAACGTCTTTTAATTATTAAATTTATCATATTTGCAACTAATACCCAATATTCATCACTTGTGACTTTTGTTTCCTCTCACAGTAAATTTGACGTTTATTATACGTAAATATTTTTCAAATTCATTTTAATTTTTTTCTATTTCATAAAAAAAAGTATTAGAATTTTTTTATTGTTATTGATGTTATAGTCATCAAATCACATGAATTAGTATGTCAAATTTATTGCAAGTTAGAAGTTTTTTGATGAGTTAAGCATAAAAAATTAATCTTTTGATTACTTTTGGAAATCTCATAAATGAAAAAAATGTTAGACAAAAAAAATCAATCACTACAATCACATACATAGACTAGTCACAACTGATTGAAATTTGGAGATTTTGAACAATACTTGTCAATTGAATATAGAAGATCAAACCAAGATATCGCAATAAACATAAGAATAAAACTTGGAAATATAAATTGAGTGATATTAAGATTAACCAAGTGTTTTCTAAACCTTATGAGCACATCACCATGCTATGGCTAATTCTTAGGGGCGAAAGAGTAAGATCTTTGACCATTGATATGAATTGCTTTGCATCATCAATAGCAAATCTTTTTTTTTTTATTCCTATTGATTATGATATTCAAAAAATATGCTATAAACTTTAAATGAAAGTTTATAGCATCATTTATATGAATATAGATTCAAAAATGATGCATTTAAGCTCTTATTGCCACTACTAACTTCTTGGAATCAACCACGTCATCACACTTGAGTAGTTTGCATAATGTACGTAGTAGAATTTTAATCTTCTCTTCTCTATTGGTTTTCTAAGACATTCGGATCCTGCTATCAATGGGTTTAGGTTTTGAATCTTTCTATCTATTTTTTTGATAAAAATTTCTTTTATATATTTCAATTATTCATTTTTCTAATGCAAAATTATTCGAAAGAAAGGAGAAAAACCATCATTTTATAATCTTAAGATAATTGAAAAAATAAAGAGTATCAACATATTTTATATATTTTTAAAACTGTTGAGATAATGTATATGATTACATTATGCAAAGATACTTCATAGATGGATTCAAGAAAATTACTTGATGATAACAGAAGTAAATGCAACAAACTTGATGGAATCCAACACGTTTCATTTTATCCGATGGATTTACTCAAGTTTTATAGTACACCGTCGGCGATATTCCAATACAATCCAGGGGTTATTTCGAGTAGCAAGCTCTGGGAATTTTTTTGGATGCAGTTATGGCAATATTCTATCGGGAGTGCTTGTCGCTTTCTTAGACATGTTGCAAATAAGTCGCCAAATTACTCTCGCGGTAGAGAGTATTTTGGCCCGATAGTGGTTGACATTCTCCACACTATACCAAAAATTATTAGGTTATAAGAATTTATATTGAAACATTGTTGACGATGAGTTGCATAGCCGTGGAATGGGATCCCATCAGATATAATGAAATTTGTTGGATCCCATCAATAAATCTGAATTTTCTAGAGATACTTTCAAGTAATTATCTCGATATTCAAATCTAATTTGCACATATGAAAAAATTCTATTAATGTGCATACTAATTTGACATGAAGTTTGTTGAAGTACTAACAAATAAGAAGTTTTATGAACTACAATATTAACTAGATTAGTCAAAATTCATACACAAATCTAATTGAAATAAAATAAATCATTGCTTATATCATATAGATGATAATTTTAAAGTATTTTTATACATTCAATTTTATGCACATTGTGCCAACAAGTGAGATTAAATCTAAAAATTAAATATTTTACTGCAAATACAAAGTAATAAAATTTCTTTAAATATGGAATAATGTCAACATGATTTTGTTTCATTTCAATCAAAGTTGGTTAATCATAAAGACAAATCTGAAGATGAAAAATACTTAGAATGATTCTACTTTCTCTTTATATATATTTTACCAACAAGTACAAAAAAATAACATCTTATCTCCATCATCCATTTCATTCCTTATGTATTGATGATATGAGAGATTATTTCATTGAGTACCTTGATTGACATGTTGCTTTCAACTATCACATTCAATATTTATCTAACAAGCACAATATCATTTTTTTTATTTTGATTTGGCGGGAGAATCTTATTGATGTTTGATAGTTTTAATCTGAAATCATTGTTCACGCATTACTACTTAACACTTATATACATCCAAAATTAACCGTTTCATTGACTCACTAAATATGTTTTCAGATATTGAAACAAAGATGAAAATTTTTTAGTCAGAGATTTTAATACTCGCAAAGGTTGTTCAGTGTTTCCAATGCAATGATTTCTTGATTTTTTTTTTCTTGAAAAACATGAGGATGATTTGTGATCAAGAATATCTTCATATCTATCTACAACTAATCTCACAGAGCATTTTTTTAAACATTTGAAGCCACTTGTAATTTGAAAGTTTGAATGAAATCTCTCATTTTTCCAACTTTCAAAGTAAAGATGAAATCTTTCTAGTTGAAAAGTTCAAAGTTCGCAAACATATTGTTGAATTTATCCAATCCAATGATTACTTGACTTCTTCTATTTTTTAAGAACATGAATATGATTTGTTTTCTATTTGTGTTCAGATCTATTCCACAAATTCTAGAACAAAGCATTTTTTAACCTTAGAACCTATTTGTAATTTGAAAGCTTGTAATGAAAATTTTATTTTTCAGTCCAATATGATTTTTCCTCTACTTGCTCTAGCATTGTCAATTATTACCTGTACTTCCTTGTTACTAGCTCTTATCTCTAATTGTGATATTCTAAAAACTCATCTTAAATCATATCACGCACATCTTTTGTTTACTCTCTCATTGTGAAAAACAATATTATTTTTTGACATGTCAGACTATTTTAACTTCTTCCAAGTTTTGCTTAGATCGTAGAAAAAAAATTCTTTATATGATACATTTACAAGATGTTTTGACTTGCAGTGTATGGATCATACATCCACACATGGTAAATTTGCAACTAATCAAATTGCTCAAAAACATTACATCTAAGTTTTTTTTGCGGCATAAAGTGTTAAAATTGTACCTTGCAATGAATGATTTGACTCTGTATGCGATCGAGTAAGAGCAAGATCAGTTAATAAATCTTTAAAAAACCAAAGTCAACTTATTATGACTAGATGAAATCTAAGAAAAGAGTTTTTTCGCGGTAGAAGCAAGAATATTTAACAAGGGAGTTGCAAGAGGATAAGAAATTATTTTGGAGACGTAGTAGTTCAATTTTTAAAATCTATTCTTGATCCCAAGTCTTTGATATCATTTGCTATAAAACTTCATTTTTTTTCCAAACGTTATATCTATGATACATTGTGAAGAAATACTAGGCTTGTTCTCTCAAGCAAGGATGATGATTCAACTGAGAGATGAGCAAAAATTTAATATGATGATTTGGATGATCTTTCTATTAAACTTTTCAACTGGAGATTGGATGATATTGGACCGATATTTATCAAAATATTGAATGATGGTGCTATTTGTGATAATACTTCAACTTTGTAGCTAAAAAGATTCATTCTATTCAAAACAAACTATTGCATTATCATGGTGGATGGTGTTTTTTCCAAGTTGTTTGAAAAATTGATAGGATCAAAGTTGAGCACACGAACAACGTATTTTCAAAAGATAACACAAATTTAAGTCGATTTTTGCCCAACATATAACATCATCAATCATATATTGGTCTTGTGTGTTTTATGAGTAAAATTTAAATACAATGAAAAAGCTTTGATTTACAGTTTTATTGATTTCAAAAAATCTTTTACTACTTTACATTGTAAGTTTTATGGAAAAGACTGAAAGTCACTGGAATACCACTAAATCTTGTAGTAGTTATGGTCACATCATACTATAATGTTTGAATCAAGATCAAAGGTTCACAAAAACAAGAGATCTTATATATCAACAAAATCATTCAAGGTTATATTCTATTCTTTAATTTATTTGGAGATTTTATTGAGAATATTTGAAAGTGATTAGAGTAATGTGATAGTGAAATTGTCAAGCTTTGTCATCAGAGCTTTATTGTATGCAGAAGATATCATACTATCAACACACGATGACATTACTTTGCAAAAAAAATCTTGACACTTTGGCAAAATTTTGTACTGAGAATCATATGAAGGTTTATATGTAAGTTTATTTTAAGTCATTATAATCAATACTAGATCCAAGTTTTTGTTATTTTACAAAAATTTACATTTAAAACAAATGAAAAAATTACCAATATTTGATCATAGATTTGTTTAAAGAATATAGTTGAGCAATTTGAATGTAAAAAAGAGTAGAAGCTTGTTACAAAGTTATGTTATCATTTTTGAACCAATGTAGAAGAGTTCATCTTGTGTCTTGTGGTATTAGAATTTTTTTATTTAAGAGTTTAATTCCGTTGATATTATATAGAATTCAATTTTGGAAACCAGTTGTAAGAAAATAGTTTGAAAACACATGGAAAGTATGCAAAAGATATTTCTACAAGAAGAAGAATGTATGTAAGAAATCAAACTCTGTCAAGTATTCTTTTTTTGGAAATTGTCTTTCAATAGAGGCTTAAATTCTTTATATCATCATCACTTACATTGCAAAGCTGAGATCTCTTAGTATTTCTTGTCTCCTTCATCAAGGTTTGCTAGGCACATGTTTCATATGATGAATAACAGATGTGATGATTTGTACTTCAAAATGAAATGTGACAGTAAGCTATAGAGTCTTGAAAGTGATAGCACTTCACAAGCATGTAAAGGCAAGTTTTAATTATTATTTGAAACAGCCCAGATAACAAAATGAAGTTTTATTAAATTTATGTTAATTCTATTCTTGTATATTGTGAACAATGATACCTACTTGCGAGAATCTCCACATCCTTATGGTATATCATCACATGACATAAAATTGGATCTCATAGGCTAAGATATGAGGAGATTTGATGGTTTAATATTAATAAAATGAACAAATTTGTAATTTATGTGAGATAAAATATTGAGTATGAAGACCATGTATTTGATACATGTCATACATGTAATAAACACATGGTAGGTATGAATATATCAAACTAGCTCTTAAAATAAATAGGAAGAATTTTTTATCTTTTATTAGAGCTAGTGGTTTTTCATTTAGTTTGCTGTATTATGGAGTTATCATTTATCGCTTAAGTACTGTAGCTAGTAGCTAGGAGAAGGTATTTATGATCTTTTTCATTGTAAATAAAGAAAGTAGATATTTATACTTGAATTTAGGCTAATTATTTCTCATCCTACTATACTCTACAGAAGAGAGATTTGTGATTGGTCAGAGGGAAATAAAAATGCTTTCGATACCATGCAAAGACATGGACTGGACGGAGTATATAGTCTTTGTGGGGACAAGGAAAGAGGAAAAAACAAAAGAAGTGCATAGCATAGGAGCAAAAGGGGATATGGAAAAGGGGGAGAATTGGAAGTAGTGTACATCATGAAAGCATATGGTAGCTAAACGAGGGCACTTTGATTCTCGATATGGAGGAATTCATTTGACTGAATGTGGGATAGGATTAGATTTGCTGGATTGCAATGAGAGCGCAAGTCATATTGAATGTCTGATCAACCGAATTTAGCTTGAGTGTGAAATCTACTTTTGCACTAAAGTGAAGCAAAAAGCGATGTTCACATCCATGATACAACTATTGATGCAAATTGATGCAAATTCATGGTTCCAGCTAGCTCCACCGCAAGAAGTTTCTCACATAACATTGAATGTTGCGCTATTGACTGTGCAAGCTTACGTGTTGAGTCAGGGCTGCACTGTCATAATTAAGCACAGAGGCATGGTTGTAACAAGAAAAATAGAGCTATCAAGGGACTTGATCTTGTGTGTTTTCACTAGAACAAACAGGTTGTTCATGAAAGTTCTTTCCAATGCAACACACACAACTGTAGCATTGGCTGTCAATTCAAAGCAAATATCAAGAAAAGAGTAGTCAGCGAAGAAGGACAAATCCAACTTGTACAGGAAATACCAGTCCAATCTGCCCAATATAGCCACGATGTTTTTGTTCATCCCATTGCACATCCGCAAGGAAGCACCCTAGAAAACCAACAAGAAACAACTTCTACTCTCAGTCGTGTTGGTGTTACGGCCAGCAGAATTGTTACGACACTACGAAAGAATGAAGGGAACTAGCAACAACAAAAGACATCCGGAACTTAAACCAAAAGGATCGTCTTTGTATACTTGCATGTCAGTCTCCGCTTTTAGCTTTGTTTGACAATTTGGCCGCTATTGGAAGCACACAATATTTCACCCAAGTGATCGATGAAAAAAAACTAACTCACATGCTGATCAGATTGCCGTTGGCAAAGGTGATTTGCAAGAGTTATGTTGTTTGTCTCGTTTTTTTACTTGATGCAACCTTCAAAACCAACAATATGATCTTCCCTTGCCGCATGTTGTTTCTATGATCGCTACCGCCAACATCTTTATCCTTGCCTAGGACATTCTGCGGCGAGAGAAAGAGGAAGACTACATGTGGACGTTGAACAAGATTATAAAGATTTTCAACAATTTTGGTGTTTTTCCAGCAACTTTTGTCACGGATCAAGATCTTGCATTAATAAACCCGTGAGACGCGTTGTTTTTAGACGCGGATATGTTGCCGTGCTGCTGGCATATTAGCAAAAACATACTTGCAAAACATAATAGGAACTTTGCGACTGAAGAAGATTGACAACAATTTTTGGATGCTTGGAATGTGTTGGTCAATTTCATGACCATCGAAGCATAGGACGCACAACTTGCAGCGAAAACTTCTCGACAGATTAAATTAAAGATACTTGACTTCCTTGAAAGGAAAAATAGGTATTGATGGAGTTTTTGACTGATTGATGAAGTATTAATTGTTTTAACACATTTTTTGCTATATTAACTCTGTTTTACTAATTTTTATAGGTTAATTGCAATGTTTCTACGGGGTAAAAAAACATTACTATCATTCTTTCATCTCGCGCGTGGAGAGTGTGCATGCTGCGCTGAAAAATGGTTGAGTTCATCCACAAATGACCTTCTATCAGTGGATACTGTGCTAGAGCTTACATGCAACGATTAACTTGCAATAATTATCCAGCAAAATACAAGAGAGCGCATCACCGCGGAGATGCAACTTGGGCCTATGTTTTGCAATGTTCCTGGCAAAATTTTAGTCAAAGGACTGAAACAAGCATACAAGTAGTTAAAATGATCAGTCCACAATTAGCTGAGCAACAACTATGAATGTCAGCGCATTTTCTCAACAACAATGGACATTCCCTACAAGCACGCATTCCAAGATCTTAAGCTGCCTTTGTCGATTAACTTTGATCATCGCTGATGGTTGATACAATCAGTGCGTGTTTCACAATTTGAGCTAGCGCCGACTTCGGATGATGTGCTGTAGATGATGGCTGATGAAGATGCTCACATAGCTCTACACCGCCAGCTCGTGCTACTTGATCATGTCAAAGCAATAACATGTGGTTGAGATACGAATGCCTGCGAATGCACCAACGCGTGGCCAACCAACCGATTCAACATGCACACTAACTTCCGAGTTTCAGCACATAGAGGTTCGACAATGACAATAACGGCGGTGTGGTCGTTGCGAGCAATTGGAACATAATGTAAGATCTTGCAATATGGAACTATATAGAGTTCAAGTTTCTACTCTTTCTTCTGTTGAAGCTGATCTTATTCTTAGTAATTCTCTGCAAACTCACTATTTTAGATGTAGCACCCATCCACCCTTTTTTTTTTAGCTTACCAATCACATACTTCCCTTTTGGAGAGTATAGTAGATGAGTAATAATAAGCATAAACTTAGGGATAACTAGCTGCTCGCTAATTAAATTAACTCTAATGTGTTTTCAGCCTAATGAACCTTTGGATACCAACTTCTTGATCTACTTATCATTTACCATATCAAATTTTTTTTCCAGAAATATATCTCTCTAGAGATATATTTTAAAGAAGCAAGACTTCAAGGTTGAACCGTTGAGCATATTTTTCAAGCCATACATTGGATGGCAGACATTGGATTTTTGCTTAAAATTTATCTAGTTTAGTAATCCACAGTATACCATGCTGTTGTCACTCCCATGGAAGCTCTGACCAACTATTAAATAGAATACATACATAGTGTATTATTGTCTTGGAGATTCATAATAGTCGAAGCTTTCTACCTCAAAGAGACTTTTCCCACATCGACCTTGTGTGATCAAAATGTTGGGTGAGAAATTTAGGCCAATCAGTTATGTACATCATGCACGTTTTGAATGAAAAAAAAATTTCGCTGATTCTCACTAATTGCTTAGTCTAAACGAAAAGACATTGATTTCCTTGATTCGCAATATTCGTGAAAAGCCATCCATCATGTAGTGATGTACAAAATGTGTAGGGATGTTCTCTTGAATCCGTTGTAGGGTTGTTCTCTTGAATCCGTTGTTGCAAATGTGCAACACCATCTGAACTCTCTACAAGAACTCCGCAGGACACCCTTCGATGTTTAACGTTTCCAGAATCGAAGCCTTCAAATTCTGAATGTGTGGGTAGTTAAGGGCTTAGATAAGCATGTTCCACTCTCCCAGCACCTTTGTTGCTGTGGGAATCTACAACATGCAGTCATGACATGTCTTCATCTCTGACTTAGTTGTTAGCCACTGTTTTTTTGAGGATTGTTTGCTAGTGAGTTTTCGTGGAACAAACAAAACAACGAGAAGAGAAGATAGTGTTCTTACCATTCACCAAAGAGATGTCATGACCAGATAGGATCAAGAAAATCCTGATCTGTACGGTCGGTTCATTACCTCATGATTATTCTAGCCCTTGCTTACAATCTTATTAGAAAGGATATAATTTCTTCGTTCATCGGGCTCTGCATCATCAGGAGTTTGTTGTTGCAGACCAGAGCCCTCACAATCAAGTCTTTTGCGTCGCAATTCAGCATTCTCAAGGTCCTCATCATCTAGAGTAAACCAAAGCACAATTGACGGTTCAATAATACCACATAAGTAGACCCTTTGAAAGTTAAAGAAGCCTTCTCCGAGAGCATCTATATACTTCATGGGTATTGTGTCTGTTCTGATTAGATATTCGAGATTATGCAAGCAAGTAACGACAAGAAAGTCGACGGCCATAGAGGCTAGACGTTGTGATGGATAATACTCACTTCTTCAAGTTTATCGGAATAAAGATTGGCTTGCTCAATAAGGCCCCTTCTCTCACTGAGGAGCAAATCCTCGGAGCTTTGGACCTGGGCCGTTGTTGTCTCTGCATCTGCACGACTCTGTTGCGATTCTTCCATAGTGCGAGCTTCCTGGAAGAGAAACTTGAATACTCATGATTAACGGAAACTGCTGTGTGCGTCCAGACTAACGAACAAATTATTAATGATTAACAAGTTCAATCCTTGTTTGCAAAGTGTTCAAAGTCTCAACATGCAGCTCCTATCATATAACGTTCTCTTGTATTTAATCACAGCGTAAAGGAACTAATGAATTGTCAGATCCTGATCAGATGATCAGTTGTTTGTAAGTTGTTTGAAGAGTGAAGGTCACGATCCTTTTGGTATTTTATATAACTCTTACCATGATGTTCTCTTGAGTTGTAGCTCCTGCATGATTTAACTCCTGCTCTGCTGTCTTCTTCGGAGGAAGATTGGAAGGTTCAGCTGTCACATTCGAGTGGTGGGTCGGCTGAATACCTTGATTAAACTGAAAAGCAGTGTTACTTCTCATCCTGATGACAGCAAACTTAGTCAGCAATTCTGACTCTTGTCAAAAGTAGCGTTAAATCTCATTTCTGGAAAGTGGTCAAAAGAGAATCCTTTCATGAGAACTTACTGTTCATCTCCAGAAGTTTTCAAATTTCGTGCCAAGTCACTACTTCTATCTTCTACTGTTTACGATTGAAGTGCTCCTAATCTAAGGTTGGAGTCATCATGACTATCTGTTCATTATCATGCGCTTAATTATCGGAGTGAAATCAAGCTACGAGCTTTCAACCTGTAAAAGACAATGCAATTCACAATCACGCCGAGTTCGACTTTTGGTCTTATTAAAAATTGTAAGAACGTGTCTCTTAAGAATTGGCAGTATACCTGTTCGTATCGATATTATTTATCCTCACTAATTCTGCAGCACCATGCCTGTCTTTGGAGGAATCTGTCTTCACCTGTTTAGCTGTTCTGCTCTGCATAGATAGTTAACAAGGTAGAGTTGCTCTTTACTCTGCTGGAAGTCAACTCTCACGGAAGAGAATCAATGTGAACTCTAGAACTCATCGCGAACAAGTATTAACTATTGTGTTATTAGCATTTTAAATTTGAATTCATGAAAGCAAGACTGTTGCTATGTTTCCTAGCAGCTGGAACAAGTAGAATGAAACATTCAGATATCCATATGATACCCACCTGTAGTCCCCCTAGCGGTAATTTTGCTGAAGATTGCAATCTCTCTATCCACGTCGCTGGTTTGTTGCTTTTTACGTTCTTTACCGATTTTTTACCCTTCCGAAGAGTAGTTGACTCCAATGCAAACCTGTGAGCTTCAAACAAAAATCACTTCGCGTCGCACAATACACTTTTCTTTGTTTTGACACGTAAGAACCAGCGAACTTCAAAGGAAGAAAGCCAAGGGAGGAAGCGGGAGCTGCGCCACTTGGGATCATAAGCTGGCTAAAGAGACAGACTATCCGGGCAGTCTAATGCACAGCCTTAAACCAGCATGTGTCTAGGCTGCCATAAGCGCTTACACCTCAACATAGGCAGAAGAGAGACATATCAGTCGTGAAGCAACCAACTTGCTGCTGAACGAACCTGCTTCCGTCAGTATCAGCTTGGGAGGTGCCCAAAACACTTGTGTTTCAGAAAGTGATTTTATGAAGTTCACAATGCGTAATTCAAAATTTTCTCACCTAACGTCTAGAGGGAAATTGGAAATAGAACATGAAAACCTAATAACATTTGCAGGTAATTGCCGGTATGTTGAGGTAGAACAGCTGACTTCGTAGTATACACCTGGCTATTGTTTCTGCAAATAATTATCGTTGTGCAAGGGCAACTACGTAACGCTTCTCCTCTCTGTAAAAGTAGCAAAGTCTTACTTAAGTAAAAGACCGTCTCTGTCTAAGGGCTGCAGTCTTAACTTATCCAGCCACTGCATTTGACTTACCTGGGTGATGATGATGCGTTGAGACAAGCAGCTGGAAAGTTTGTGTTAAGGATGTACACTTGTTTCGTTTCATCTCTCTTTGGCGTCACCTTTGCATCTGTTTGGCATCGTACTTGCCTCTGGTCGTTGTTCTTGTTTTCGTTTGTAAGCTTTCTTTTCAGTTTGTTGACTCCACGTCCTTTATCACTTTTCCCTCTGTTTTCTTTACTTATATGAGTCGTCTTTGGGATGTCTATGCTGCATTTAGGTCCAACTTCATTATCGACAGATGCATCAGTGTTCGCGACCACAAGATCTTCAACAACCTTCGGCTCCTTTATAAGATCATTCCTCGAAAAACTGTTATTTCCGGAATCTCTTACTGGTTCAGATCCATCGAGTTTGTGCAGCGACGTGACATTATCTCCTCTGGGCCGACACTCAGTCTTCATTACGCCATTCGTTGAGACTTGCGGTAAAGTTTGCAGAGTCTTTTTCTCAAAATAAACGGATTTTACCACAGGTGCGCCTTCGATGGGATCGGCGACCACTTTCTCTTGAACATTCGTTTTCTCAGAATCTACTGATGGTGCTGCATTATCGGGCCTGCACAGTTACAGTTAGAATTAGTGTTCCTAAGCTGAACTGTACTTTCAGACTGGGTACATGTGTTCCACAACGTATCACACATCGTTAGAATATTGGATTATAGCTGAACTTGACGTCTCCCGTAATCTACATGTTAGCTTTTTTCCTGTTACTCGGTTTTCTCCTTGCTTTCTCCTTGTTTCGTAGAAGAGACATAAGAAGGATTTTAAAATTGAACAAAGAATTTAAGCCCAATAGAACCACCTATACTATGATGCCAAGAACGAGTTCTGTTATAACAAGCAGATGGAAAGTCAAAGATATCACAGGGTAGTACCCTCCACTACCCAATGAAACCACCTATACTATGATGCCAAGAACGATTTGTGTTATAACAAGCAGATGAAAATCAAAGCTATCACAGGGTTGTACCCTCCACTACCCTAGCATCTGCTGTACTGTATTACTCTCTTAATGGAAACTGCACGAGAAGTACATAAAACTTTTCTGATCGTACATTTTCGATATATGGCTTTGTTGTGGGCGCTTTGACTCATTTAAAGAACTGCGTGATCACAAAAAGTTTAATTATTTATATCTGCATGCGACATATGGGAATGAGTCTTTCAAATAATACGTACGACTCTAACCAAGTTTGCATTTCTCACAAGAAAATCAAATGACTGAAGAAACGAGATTATGAAGTAGGCTTAATGAACCGAGCTTATCTATCATAGTTTCTCCGATTCCATGGTCACAAGATTGTATTGGAACAGTATTTTCTCTCACGCTCGTCTCCACATCGAGTTCATCTTCCGCCTCGGTATACCTATCTTTCGGATTTGCCCCCGTTTGAGAACCCTGCGGAGCACCACCTTCATTGAATAGACATTGCTTCTCTCTGACGGGCGTTGAAGACGGATCATTCAGACGTGTATGATCCTCCTTCATCTTAATGGATTCTCCTTCACCGGGTGGACAGTACTCGAGCGTCTTGACGTTCAATAGTTGTAGATCTGTTGTAACCTTGCCGTCGGGTCTTGAGGGATGACAGGTTATTTGTGCCAACTTCATTGCTTCACTTTGCTTTAGATTCTCTTGAGCGGACAGAATTGCAGAGTGGTTTTCAGATCTTAAGGGTAGTTCAGGCTTGTGAAATTTTGACAGGTGGGAGGAGCTAGTTGACTGGTCCCAACTTGCTCGTTTTGTATTAGGTGATAGCGAATCACTTCCATCACCATTCATGTGCTCTGATTCATGACCTTCACATATCGATTCCGTGATATTTTTTGAAGGGTTACAAATCACTTGAGCTGCGCTTCTGCAATCCTCTTTGCTCACTACAGGTGCATTTTTCACTTCAGACGATGAATCATTTTTCACTCCAGGTTCCTCGAAGGCCGCAGTATCTTCAGATTTCCTCTGACTTGACTTTGATTCGGGGACAGGAACATAGGTGTCAGAAAGGCTTGAAACCTCCTGGGGCACAGAATTGTTTACTGACTTCCGTGATGGTCCAGGAGAGTCGACTCTAATTTCCCTCGATGGTTGTAAAATTGTATTTTCGGATCTGTGAAATATCAGTAAAGAGAGAGGTTAACAATAGAGAGGTCTACAAGAAGCATCAGTTTAATCTACAGAACATTTGTAACAAGCAAAAGCACGAGGGATGACGGCGAATTTGAAGAATTTTCCACAGAGACTTTATAGTTTCTACGCTGTCGAAAGCTCAAAGAAACATTCGCGTCGCATTACCCGCTGATATCAAAGGAAAACTCATCGTTGCCATCCAAATTCTGTGATTTCGCGGGTTGAGACTTCGGTGGTGGATTGAACTCCAATGCAGCCAAGTCTATTTCAAACGATGGCATCTCGAAATCTAGATCAACGTCTCTGCATGTTAGGAAGAAATGTTTAGGTACTGTCATGTGTATAAGTACATAATCACGTAATGACGAGTTGTGAAAATAAACTTCATGGGACGCAAGGCAAATCGCTCTTAAAGCTATTCTGTCTTTCGAAGATAGTCTCTTGAAAATGTTTGGAGCTTACATCTTTGGTGAGATAAACTGCTTGCGCTTTGCTTTGACCGGTGGACCCTCATCAATTTTCAGGCTTTTGTCACGAGCCATTACATTGGACGGAATCCATGACAAGAAATCGTCGTCCATGTCATCATCTGGATAAAATGTGAAATTTAATATCAGGACCTTCAAACACAACGACTAAAGAGTGTAAGTGAAAGCTTCAAAGTGGACACATGCAGTATTTATGGTAATAGTTTAAACCAAAGATGGTAGAAGAACTTCTTTCGGCCATTGTTTTGCTTCTGTTATTCCCACGTAGATATCGCCACTGCACATATAGACGAAGCGAAATATCAATAGCTACCTCAGGAACCAACATCTGTTAGTGCCGATGATGGGCAATAAAAGTGACTAGCATACTCTATGACGCTTAAGGAATGACCTATTGAGTTTGGCTGCTAAACATGAATGATTGCCGACTAGTACACATGTCATGAGGTCAAACCTGTCAGACAGCTCCAAGATTTAATGACTTCAACTCACTTCGCTGAAAAAACTGGCAATTCGCGAAACATTCATCAGTGCACATCAAGTCAGGGGCATTTCTCTAATCTTGAAAATCGAAAAGGACGAGAAAGTTTAGCAATGGACATCAATCTGCGAGAATAATTGTAGCATGTGGGGATAGATTGTTCATAGTTCATTGTTCATAGATTGTTCTAGTAGCAAACGAACATACTAACAACTACGAACCATCGTTATTGCTGAACCGGCCTGGCTCATTTCATAGCTTCGAAGTCTCAACATGGTCGAGGGAGGAGGACTCCATCACCGTTTCTTGATCCAAAATGTAAAATGCATCTTCAGATAATTCTCCGCCTTCCATATCCACATTCTTCAACTGCCCGTCCATGAGAAGGTACGCTCTGAAAGTACAATTCCACTCGAGCGAAGAAGAGAAGGATCGATTCGATTTTTCAAGGGTATATTGTAACGCTCGATGAACATCGTCGACCCGGATGCGCAGCGTCTCCCATTTAAATTCAAACTGCAAAACTTCTTTAAGAAGCTTCGAAGTCCATTGTCCCTAGTTCAAAAGTATGTTGCCCGTTCAGGTGAATTCAGCTGAATCATTTTAAAAACGTGTTATATGGAAACACGAACACGCTTTTATAGATACAAAAATTTGACCTTGTGAATCCTTGTTTGGTTTGGGCTTATCTTTATTAGCTAGGTTTTTGCATTTCAATCTCTTTCAACACTATCTAAAAGAGTCTACACACTAAGAAAATTTTTCCCGGTACAACAGTTAAATAGAATATTTCTTCTTTAAAATTACTACAAATCTTGATATCAAAAAAATGAAATCCATGTGCAAGCAAAATTTTCAAATAGAGACATGATTAATTTATTTATTCATTTATTCAATTTTCCATTTATATTTTAAAATACTTACATCTATACTACATTGAGTTCTAGATTAATTGTGAATTCATAAAAATTTTGTGTAACTTAATTTTGTGTAGCTATGTTATCCAAATGTAAAAAATTCAATTCAATAAAATATTCACATCTTTTTCATTATTGAATTCTCTTATAATATTTAAATTGATCAAATTAATTTATGAACTTTATATGATCGTTATTTTATATTATTTTTTGAATTTCTTCATTTTAATAGAATAAATATTTTATTTATTTATAAAATTAAATTGAAAAAAAAATTTAGGGAAAAATGAAATTTCCAGTATTATTGAAAGAATATTCTATCAATAAATTTTTGATGGAAATTTAATTAAATTAGAAATTTCAAAAAATTATTTTTTGTATGTCATAAATATATGTCAGATTTTATATATCATATGTATATATTATAATTGTAAATTCTAACAGTTTGATATTGAAAAGTATAACAAAATTTTGGTCTAAAAATGTATCATAGTGTTTTCAAGATATATATGTACAGAGAGAGTTTTTTATTTTGAACAACTTTGCAGAATATTATTTGATTAAAAAAATCTGACCTCATAAATGGAAGTATCGATGACAATTTATTGTTCAATGATCACCATCTCATTGAATTTGTCAAATTGAAAAACTGTTTTGTGATTTTGAATAAGATATATTTAAATTAACACAATTTTCAAATCATTTTATCATCTAAGTGTCACAAAAGTAGTACGAAAGGTTGAAATCATGTAGTTTGGGTTGCATTATTAGTGTAGAATCATATATTGGTAATACGTTATACCAAATGAGTTACTTCATTGGTTTACATATGTAGATTCAAAGATATTACTTGAACTTTCGATGAAAAATGAATAGATAACCACAAATCTTTTGTGCATAAAATGTGGATATTGACAATGTGATCAAGACAAAAATATGTTTTGTGAATAACATATAATCCACTGTGATAATAGTAGAATTTTATTATTTAAAAAGTCCATGGAATTTTTTAATAATTTTGAATGATAATAATGTTATAAGATTGCTTGCATAGTATTTCTTCAAAGAAGATTTTTATATTTCTGAACAAAGTATATAAAGATAACCATCTTACTTTTCTGTGATATCAATGGCATGCATAATACAATTAACCTACCTGTTTATATTATATTAAAAACTATTATTATTTCTAAACCGTCAAGATAGAGAAACAACTTCCAATTATTATTTTTCATTCCTGTAGTTTTGCGAGATCAATACAGTACTATCTGGATATTTTAAATTCTTAATTTAATAATCTAATATATATATAATCCACCTGTTAGAAAAAACATAATTAACATTATTTGTATACGCATTAACTTGGTATTAGTGATCTTAATTAAAGAATCGTGGTCTAGAAAATATGTGAAATTTTCTTTAAGAAAAAATTTGCTAGAATGATCTTTCTATCTTTACATTATGAGCTATTTATATGTAGGTTATTTGAAAATGCAAAAAATATTCGTACACTACGATTTGGAGTATAAAATCTCTTGCATCGTATCAAACTTAGAATGAATATTCAATTCATATAGAAACATAATTATTACATCATCACCTAAGAGATGATTTTTTTTTATTTGCTAATTTCATTAAACATGTTAATGTGATGTCAAAAGAGATGAAACGAGATGAAATATTAACGGGATATCTTGATAAGGTGAAGGTGAGAACGCGGACCTTTTACCTTATCTTGATACTTCTAACACTATCTTTGGTTTTAGTGATTCCATTACAGCGAAGACGGGCTGTTGGACGTCTGCGTGATTTAGCCAGCACCGCCGAAAGCGCCGCTAAAAGGTCGGACTAGTGGAAGGCGAAGCCTACAAGTAAGGCGATGCTGACAGTCAAAGTTCGCCCCAAAAATACAAACTCCGATGGTAATTACAACAATATCGGAAGCAAATTTCGGATAACACGGAACTAAATATAAAGTGGAACCTCTTCTTGTCCGGAAAGTAGCCTTATCCTGCAGCTCCCCACGGGAGGAGGGCGTTGTGCAGGCTTTCTGAACGTCGGATGATATCGCATCTTCTTCAAGAAGTGGCTAAGGACACGTGGCACCATCGAAAAGGCGTATCTAGAGAAGTACATCCTGGACAAGGACGTGCTGATTGCTACTAATATCCAGAAAGGTACCAGCGTGAGCGAGAAGAAGAACCTCGAGAGCGTCGTCGAGACTATTGGGAGCGAGGTCGTTGTTTTAGACTGTGCGCGTCGTTCGTCGCAGCTGTGAGTGTGGAGGTTGAAAATGTCAGGCCTCTTCGCTATCGGAGCCCGTGCCGTCCTCATCCATGGAAGCAAGCTGAACATCCTCGATCGCCGCAATTTTCCTCAGCAATTTCCTCCCCAGCAGCAGCAGCAGCGAGTGAAGACGAGTAATGGTTAGGAGGCGCGTCGTGCCCCCTCAGATGCAAGCTCTGAAAGGGGCTCAGCGGGATGCCAAGGAGGACGAGTGGGGCTCAGCGGGATGTTTTCAACATCGTGACAGTGAATTCGTCAAACCTATCTAGCTGGTAAGTAAACTATTATTGCGAACCAATGTATGAGAGAGAGGGGACAGAAAGACTTACTATACTATGCTCGCGGTATCCTTTGTTGATGGTGTGAATTACTGTACAATACCGATGTTTTGGCTCCTATCTGAAGTTCTCGTAATTTTCTGTCCATGGCTGTCTTGTTGAATGTCATGTCTATGAATCTTGTCCTTTGCAAGTGTCCACTTTAGTAATTGTCTTCACGTGATAGGATGTTCTGCAGAGGCTGACAGTTGTGTTCCTGATTCAGAGATGAAGCGAATGGAACTCATGAGTAGTATGGCAAACGAGCTGCAAGCGCCTTGAGAGAAACTTCAAGACTTTTCTTCGGCGGTTAGAGTGTTCAACTTGGGCATCATGCTCTTTCCATCTCTAAGGCGAGATCTCAAACCTTGTCCGATTCTTATCCACTCTGAGACACAATTCAGCAATTTGTCTGTGACGTGTGGGTTTGCACTGCCGTCATTGCTGCTCATTACGCACGATTCTTATATCCCTCGCTCTTCAACTCGACTCGATAATACCACTGTCAACAGATCCCCAATCTACCAGCTTGGCGACAGCTGCTAGGAACGCGATAAGCGTGTCGAATGCAGCGATATCTTCTCCTTTAATCAGGTGGCTGCGATTCTTCTTTTGGCCAACCGTGAAGCATCTGAGATGACTGCCAGCGCTTGCTTCAACTGCCAACATAGCCGTTAATGATCCGATGTTAGCTACTTTCAAAATTTAGAAGATTGTAGTATACAGATTTAAAAATGGTCGAATACACAAAGAGTCTCTGTTCAATTACTCAGCGATTACTATGGCCTTAGTACCATTGTTACTTATGTAATAGCAGGACGCAAGATTGTTGCTACACATCATAAGTATGATATGAGATAAATATAACCGGACCTTCGGTACCGTGGATAAATTGTGGGAGAGGCTTCACACGTACAAGCCCGCACGTCGTTGTTTAGACCCACACTGAAATGAAATAGATTTCCGGATTTTACTCAGGTGCTGTCTGAATTTCCCGATGAATTTGCATACTTTACTTGCGTGCTGTCTGAACTGCCCGTATCAAGTTGGCCACAATCTCCCCGTCAAAGGTTTCGACGAAAAGAAGTTTGTTTTGTTCTTGTGGCAAGAAAATTGGGATAAAGAAGATTTTGTTGTGGCAAAGAAAGTGGCATAATCATTGTATGTGAAAGTGGAACAGTCGTTTTGTTGAAGTAATACATTTATTGTATTTCACATCAGTTGGTGAAAGATAGTACAGATATTATGTAAACCAGCGAATCGTCACCTTCGCCACAATTCAAACTGTTGACGGTACAATCTGTGGCCAGTCAAACTTTCACAAGTAGCACTTTCACCTAAACCGCAACGTAAAGCGCGAAATAGTAACTGATATAGGAAATATTGCAACAGACCAAAAAGCAGGAAAGAAAGATCTAAACTCATCCGCCCAGAACAATAGTGAAGAAAAGGTTAAATCCGTAAATTCATCATATTCTTTGAAAATGTCTTTACATCATGAAACGTATGAATGTGTTTACTACATCAAACTTTTACCAACAGAAAAAAATAAAGTGAGAGTTTACGTGAAGTAAATATATCCATCGGAGAGGTACACACTGGAAAAGAGATAATAATTCCACAACTAATATGGTGAAGAGTGAATACAATTTTGCTAAATTGGTTTGAGACGCCAATTCCAGGTAGTTAAAGAGTACATTATGGGGTATAATACCCACATTCAGCAAGAAAGTTGTAATGTATTGATATTTTCATGATTCATGGTCACATCTGATGTGATAGGAAACGGAACACATGTGGTTTATGATTTTCTAAATTCAGAACCCTACATGTTCTAATTTTCTACATGGCTTCCAAACCTCTAGCACTTTACCACTTTGCTTGGTGCACCGATTCGTTAAGCGCCTTACTAAATCACATCTCTAGATCAAAAAGATTACTCGAACGAACTCCACCCCACGGAACTGGTTAGACATATGCGAAATCAGCGTGAACATATAGGAGATGTTGGAAGGAAACGTCATGCTGACTGAAACCATGTCATTCCAACCCATAGCAATATTCAGCTGTTTGCAATCGTTTCGTTGTCGAAATTGCAACTAAACACCTTATAAGAAGTGATATCTTAAGAAACTAAAAGCCAAGTACCAGTCCAGTTGATCAAACATAAATGAAAAAGAATCATCACTGAGAATATTCTTTCAATTTTCTAGTTAGAGTAGAAAACTTGAGTCATGACATCACCAAAACCCTACAAATGGTTAGTAACTTTTGAATAAACTTACATCTGTCATGACAGGCTAACCATCTCCCAATCTACCCACAAATTTTGAGAAGTTAAAGCCTTAATTTCCTGTATAAAGCTCAACTCAATACAGTGAGATTAACGGAGAAGAAATTTATTTCGATATTCCCATAAGTGCAATTCTTTGTTGTGAGTTTCTTTCTTGAAGAGAATCAAAGAATTGCACTAAGAGTACTCTAAATGCAATTCTTTATTGTGATATAACATAATTAGTATGAACTAGTCATCAACAAACTTGATAAGTATAGCTAAGAAATCTTTAATATTCTAATATGGAACTGATATTGTTATCATTTCCTGAACAACCTTCTGTATCATGTGTTTTGAAATACATAGTTTAAAATATAAAAGACTGATTAATATTATCATGTTCAGCGAATGTTATTGAGAATTTTATACAAATGCGACTACTTTGATTACTATATATACTACTGTTACTATGTATATATATATATATATATATATATATATATATATATATATATATATATTGATGGACGAAAGAAAAGAATCCAAAGGCAATAATCATAGTAAACAGTAAATGCGGAATTGTATGACACTCTATTTCGAGACAGGGAACAATTCTCCCGCTTGAAGACCAGTGTTTCTAACAGGAGGAACAATTTTTTCTAAAGAAAGGCCAGAGCAACGAAAGGCAACGAAATATTCAATGGCATTCTGGTATCAACAGCATATCAGAATGCTTATAAATTTCAGAAATAGATACGAGAATTGCGGTCATACGAAGATAAAAAGGAAGCAGTAACATCAGCCGGGTATTCATGACATTCAAAATGCACATACGAGGCACATACTGAGTATCATGGAGATTCAGACGAGGTCTTTCCCAAATCAGTTCTTGTACGTCTCAAAATACAACGAAGTCCAGATTTCATCAAGAAATTATCACGAAGACCTATGTGCGGTCGGACATTAGAGAACCAGTTTCGAAAGAGAAGAGAGGTAACAGCTTTCTTCAAACATGGATATAATACAATGTTTAGGGTAGAGGGACAACTTCGATTGACCAGTCGTACGTCTTGACCATTGGTTCCTGGCTTTGGCTTTGAACAGGTAAGGATGACTTCGATTAACTTTAGAAACTGGGGAGGAACTTCGATGTGTGTTAAATAATATACCAGGGACTCCATGCAGCTAGTAGCCCAATCTGCTATAGCTCCGAATACCTTATCAACGCTTAGGTCTCTTTGCCATTGGTTTTTTCACTGCTACAGTCAAGTTGCAATAGTCTTCTATCTTCTGTCCAACATCTTCATCCAACTCGATGCCCAACTCCTCCTGCAGTGGAGGAGGAAAATTAAGTTCGAAAAGCAGAAATGATGGACAACTGCTGTGACCAAAACGCTAAGGTCCAGAGAGAAGTACTAACATACAAAAAAACGTTATCACGGAAGAACAGGCAGTTTGTATAGAAATCCAAAAGAGGACAAACTTCTAACGGGGTCGTGCCCCACTGGCCTGGAATTGCTATCCCATAATTCGGTAATAGGAAGGCCTCACCTTGAGTTCTGTAAGATTTTTCGGAACTGCTTCGGTAATCATATCCCACAAATCCTTAAACATTCGTTTTCTTTTTCGCCATAGACCGGTCTTAAGAGTATATGCGCTTTCAATCTTCTCTTTCTCTTCGGATGTGATCAAGGTTGCCCCACTTTTCAACGTACTTAGCTTGGCCTCTAGACTGGGAATCTGCGTATGTAATAGCTTTGATTAGGCAACAGAAGCGCTATATCGCATATATGCCCAGTATTTGAAAAAACAAAGGGAGTGGACTGGAAACTAATATTGCAACTCTTGCGACAAAACATAACTGTTGTTACAAACAAGGAAGCACTACCTACTCAGACCGTCTAGTGCACCTTGTGTGAAAAGAGGGTTCTCATAAGTATCTTGCACCTCATTGTTAAGTTTCTCCATTTCCAGCTTGATCTGTTTGTCTGTGAGATTGCTTTGTACAGAACGAAGTTCTGCACATGACACAAGGAAATAGTAAGCACAAATCGAATTGCTTTATTGCATATCAGGAGTAAGGTGAGACCCCTTCATCGTGGTGCCACTGAACCACTTGAACGGGACACGACGAGAAACTGTTTCCCACCTCAAGCAGTGTTATGGCTAGACTTACGAAGCATGCGATTCATGAAGTACCTGCTTCGAGCTCGCTGATCAAGGTTTTTGAGGAGTTTATTTCTCGCTGCAGCTGTTCATTTTCTTTCCTCATGCGATCAAGTTCCTCCGCGTTTGGAACTTCAAACTGATCCTGCCTGGCCAGGTAAATCTTTTGCTTCCCGTACTCCTTAAATGATATTTGTCCTTTGTCACCAAGGGTGCTGAGAATCTTTTCAACAGATACTTTCTTGATGCCATGCTTTTGAAGAGCATCTGCCACGTTTTGAGCGTTTAAAGGTCGATTTTGCTGTCACAGATATTAGAACTACTCAGATTGTTGAACGAGTTTTCTGTCTGAAGCTTAAGTGATAGTTAGCTGCAATGTAGATGCAATTTATAAGTGTTCCAACGAAGAAAACTTCGCGAACCAAATGACTTAAGAGGACAGACATATACCTCGTTGATGAAATCGAGTACAATTCCTGCGCAAAGACAAATATGGTAATCACGGTTCATAGTTTGCTAGAGTATATCAGAGAAAGAGCAGGTTGAGCAATGGTGGATGTCAGAAATTAAAAACTAATAGATCGCAGACTCATAAGTCTGCAACAAGAGATGATTAAAATCACGCTTCTTACATAATACGAACAAACATTCTTGTCTGTAGGAGACATTAATGGCGGCATATACCAACAGCTGATCTCAGTAATTACGATGGAAAGATTTCAATACGTACCCTCGTTAGTGCTCAATTTTGGAGGCATGCTTTCCGACGTCGATGTCTCACATTTGACTCTTCGATGTAATCCAGATACTAGGAGAAACTTCAATTGAAAAAGCCCAAGACTAAGCCGAAAGCTTCGGATATCGATTTTGGATCTAAACACACGAAGTCTGTACACAAGAATTTTTCGTTCATTATATTTACCAAGTTCAAACTAGGTACCCAGGCTTGTGAAGACAAGTTTTGCAGCTGAGGAGGCAACTGTGCCGAAATCTGCAGCAGGGGAAGGATGCTCAACAAAACGCTACAAGTTGAAATTTGAACACATAAATGTCTAATTCGAGCAATGGGACGGAAGGTGCATTTTATATAATTCAATGAAATTGCGGAACTAAGGTACGCAGCAGACGTTTCCAAAAGTGCCAAGAGACTTCACTTTTCCGCATGTCACTGCTTACAGTCATGAAAGCATGAGAGATCATGGAAAATACTAACAATTCGGCACTTACGGATCCAAATCCTCCACGCACATAAACCGATGGGCATGAGACACATGACGATCTGAATTGAGGCAACTATCTTCGTTATCTTCCAAACATGCGAAACGGAGCTGGAAACCATGGCTAGATTGCGGACATTACCTTTCTCGCGAATTTAGCTGATTCCTTCCGGCTTGAAGTGATTCACATTCAAAATGTAGACCCTGATTTCATATACATGTCAACTATCTCTGCCGTTCGAAGGCAGCCGGATTCGAATTTCAGAAAGAGAGGCAGAGCGCACAAACATTCTTCGAAACAGAGCTCTCCCGCCAACCTGTTCACACTGAAGTTCAACTTCTCTGTAAAAGATATTACCCTGTACAATGCACTGCACGTACTGTACTGTAGTATGATGTTCTTCACATTACTTTTGAAAATAAACCATTGCCGGTGCATATAGATTTATCTCACATTCTTCATGATTGGTTCACGGTGTAGTTTCAACATACAAACATTTCGAGTAAATTTTGTCAGATTGATATTAGAACCTATGTGAAGACGATACTGAAAAGAAATTGTGTAGGACTGTATATTACTGAGATGATGAAATATTTATTTATTTAGGTATTTATTTATTAAAACTATGATATCAAACGATATACGAACCACTAAAGTACTTTAAGTATCACCTAATGTGATTTTTCTCTGTAGAGAGAAAATGTACTAATAACATACAAAAACTGTGAATAAACTATCATTTATTTTTAGATTATACTAATAGAATAGGCCCCAATAGCTTTACAAAAGAAACACCCTACATATCATACTAACAACTTGATCTCAAGTGATGTCACTCTTATCAAAACTCTTTTGAATTCAACACTGCCATCTACACAAAAAGCAGTCCCGCAACCTCCCATTAAAATCGTATTTAAGAGCTTATGCACAAATCAACTACACCAACAAGTAAATAAATTAAAAGATAAAAACATGGGGTTGCAAGAGTGCAAACAAAAAACGTCCCAAACAAATAATTTATTATAAGATGAAAATGCATAAAGAACAATAATTTATGCTCATATTACCAACAAAATCAATATACTCCTAAAGTGCACTTGAATGCATTTTGTCATCAGATGATGTGATGTGATGTGCATTTTACTTTTACAATATTGTCAAAGCTTATCAAAAGTACAAGAAATACAAAACAGTATGTACATTGTAAAATTTCCTCTGTTAAAATTTGTATCATCTAGATATACAATATTCGATGTGTCATGTGAAATACATGGAATTGACAACTGAATTCGCTAAATAATTAGAATAAGAGTTTGAAATACAACATCTTTTGTTATCATTGATGGTGATGATGCAGTTAATTAATTGTGAAAATACAAAAATTATAGAGCTGGCATTTACGCAAAGTTTACATTTTATGAAAAAAATAATAATTTATCAAGTCTATTTTAATTTATATGATTTTTAAAAATCTTATAATTAATTTCATTTTTAAATATTTCAATTAAAAAAAATTCTGAGACTTATTTTGAAATGGATATTTTTAAAATTAAAAGAATTCAATAATCTAATGTAGATTTGATGTTATAATTAGACGAATAATAAAATAATCAGAGATATGATTGACTTTCAATAGTATTACTATAATAGTTAATGAGAAAATATTGTCAATCTAATATCAATGAAAAATATTATATTGCAAATTTATAATTTCTATTCAATGAGATTAGGACTTGTAAACTGTCTATAATGAGCAATATATTTGGACTTTTATGTTGATCTAAGCTCAATTTGATTTCTTTAATGTATAATTCGTGAAACATAAGTATAGGTTGTTTCATTATCTCCAAAATCAACAAACTGAACACGTGTACAAATATAAAATAATTTGTTGTCTAAAAAAAACTATTCCAATATATATGGTCCTCGAATATATGAATATGATGTACATGTAACAAAATTAGCATATTATTATCATATTTCTACTAAATATAGGTTAAAAAAATAGTTTAAAATAAAATTTTATTCATTCCAATAATCTGCAGTAACTATTGTCATGATACAAATGTTTTTTCGTAGGAACTAGGATTTGTAACAATCATGTCATATCAATGAACGGTTAGATGAAAATTGAACATATAATTAATAGATAAGTTAGTTGATTAAACTACACAGTGAAAGAATTAATTATTAAATATAATTTTTTATTATCCTAATTGCATATTATTACAATTGAAATTCGAACTAGAAAAAAGTTAAACACGATACATAATGACAAGTGCTTCCCTTTATTTTCGTCATATGAGCTTTCATGATGTAAAATGATTTCTATATTACGATATGAATTTAATTTATTTAGTAAATGTGTATTTCAAAGCAGTTTCAGCCTAAACTTAAACAAGAATGTATGTGCATAATTTATTTATAAAGATTATTGTCTTTAGTGCAAATGAAATTATTATTATTTTTAAATGATGTGAGCATTGGAAGAAGATGAAATTTGATGTAATAATCATTAAATCATTACATGTTTGAGTTATAATCAACCAGAATTTTTAAGTGAAAACACTGATATGAACATTTTCTTGAAGAATATATTATTTAAGAAAAAATTAACTTTTGGTTGTTGCAAGATATTGAATTGGTGAAAATGATACAGAAATTATGAATCTAACATTCATAATCATGATAAATATTAAATTGTTTATTTTATGAGCAAATCATAACATATACATCATATTACACATATTGACATGAAAATGATAAATAACATGAAAAAAATATTTTCGCATGAAAAAAAATGAAATCATCTTGAAAGTGTCATGAAAAATTATCATGGAATATAAGATGTGTTATGCACACCAACTTGTAGATTTTCAATGCATGCAATTAAATTCATGGATATATGTAGGCATAAACATATAAATAAGTTCAAGAGAAACTAAATTTGCATATCTTTATTTCCACATAATATTTTATTTTTAATTAAAATTGGGAAATTATTTTTATATGTGTTTGAAGGCTTAAAAATTAAATACTTATATTACTATAGTATATAATAATTCAATAATTCATTATTATATATACTTTTGGGGTTGAGGTTGAATCGTCATAATCTCATGGTCTTCAATTTTATTTGGTTTATCTGAAATTTTTTTAACATGGCGATTCTATATAAAATAAGAATAAAGAAATGCATATTTAGATTATTTAAAGTTCATTTTTTATTTGAATACGTATACTTCTTATTTGTTTGATAAGATTTTGTATCAGCATCCGAATTATTATCACTGTAGGAAGACTCATGTAGATGGATAGATATATTAGGAAATAAATTAAAATATATATCTTCAAATAGTTTTAATATATTTTGTTTTTTTATTACAAGGATTATCTCAAATATGTATCAATCTTATGTACTTCCTCATTTTAGAAATGTAACTCCTTCCTTTTAGAAACTTTTAGAAATAAAAAGTTGGCGTAGTTTATGTGTATGCATGTTCGTGTATCGCAACAGTAGTCAACAGGTTATTAGATCTTGAGGGGTGCTATGATTGCAATTATCCTCACGTGCTTCACTATCAGCCAGTATAGAATAACGTCAAATGTTTTAGGTGAAGAATATAGTCAGATAAATGGAACACCAAATATAGAGGTGTTTCAACCACTCACGTTCAGTTTGACCAATAGAAGACTTTAAGGTTCTAATGGTACCTTTGTAGAGTTTCAACTACTACATATCCTTCAATTGAACCGCATGAACACTGCCCATGCGGTTCAATTGAAGGATATGTAGTTACAGATAGGGAGTCTTGCCGCGTTGATGTCCAATAGTCAGCAACATGGCAAAGATTCCTATCTGTTACATATCTCTAGGATTTTTGTATGACATCATTGTCTTAGGCAGAAGTTAAATAAGTGGTCAGTCGCTTTGGGCATATTTGTAAGACTGAATCACGTGAAGACGACTTAAAGATACGAATTTCAGGGATTTTTTGGCGTAAATATCAGCGACCTGGGTTAGACGAATGAATGATCTTCTGCTTTTGCATGTGAGGGATATATGGCATCCAAGGGTAGCTTTATTCCACTAAATCTTTGAACTAAATACGAATCAAGAGGGGAGTGGTGAGGTATTTAACTTTCAAACAAGATATCACACATGCCGCACATGTTGTTACAGAATATGTTACTCACAACAAGATGGAGTGGAATTCCCGGGTTTAGGAAGTCGTATTCAATCCGAGATCTGCGTAGATCCTTATTCTATTTTTTTCATAACAGTCCCTATTGTCCTTATAATTTATCAGAGTTTTGCCCCCTTGTTGACACCGAGGTGAATATGGGTTTCTTGTCTTTGGGTATATAGCTTGAGTTATGTTTGAAGTTCTATGCGACTAGGAAATTCTCAAAAATTAGTTGACAGTTGAGGTGTCATTAGTCCCCGAAAGCAACTATCATTTACTCTAAAGTTTAAGGAACATTAAAGCACTACTTCCACTTTAGAAAAGTTGACACTATAATGTATTCGAATAACTCACTTTTTTATTATATGATGATTTGTATCGTTGTGAAGAAAATTAACCTTTTGAAATGATGGGAATATTGAGAAATTCAATACTCTTATGAATAGAGAAAATTTTATTTAATAGCAACATGCTCATACATCATATGAGGATTAAACTTCTTTAAGGTCATGCGCACGGTAAACTTAATAAGTTTCTGAACCTATCCATGTAATTTATACACTTTGGTTAACAAGTGAACCAAGTGGGGGGGGATAAAAGTCGTTATATCATCACGTACACATAATAATATCAATTGATATTATTTTTTATTGGGATTAACGTGTTATTAGATTCGATACAGATTTCCACGAGCCTATTGTTTCTGGATTTGTTAAGACTGGCAAATTGAGACGCGCTTCAACTAATATCGGCAACACAAATCTACCTACAGATTAACGTTGCTCAGTGTATAAGCATAAGTATTCACTGGGCAACACCACCATTGTACTGTGCTTGAAGAGTGTCACATTCAGGTGTCTCAAATGTCAAGTGGCTGAAAAGGTAGATAATGTAGTGATTATATATCCCAGTTCTTGATTGTATACAAGAACTGGATATAGTAAGTAATATAGTGTATGGTTATTTCGAGAAGCACTTGGAAACTACAAATCTATAAAGCCTAGTATGATGCTAAGCTATCAAAACTTTTAAGGGATGTGACATAGATGACTTTAGTATTCCTGTCCATCACGTGCTGAAATTAAGATTCTTCCTTTAGTAATTAATCTTGGAAAAAATCTCCTACCAAGA